TGGGGCAAACCGCGGACACGTGTTTCTGGCTATTGGCCTCATCAGCGCGGTGCAGCCAAGTGTAAAGATGGGCAACACTTGTTTGCCGACAGCAGGAAACAACACAAATGAACGGAGTCAACAACAGGAGCCAACCGCACATTTGTGGTTCCAGTTAGAAGACCTGGAATTCCCAGGCTACATCTAACATGTAGTAACATGTTTTTTTCGTAACAATTCATTTAAGGCTTTTTTGGCAGAACACACAATTCCTCACAATTGTTCTTTATTATGCAAGACATTATTGTGTTAAAAGTAAGTTTTATTTTGTTGGTGAAATTGCTCAACCTGCTACGCTCGTTTCGCAAACTTTTTCACTCACAAAGCAAAACTTTACTTTTCACACTTATATCATAAAAATCTATTCTAGGAAATCAGGTTATAAATAAACATATTAATAAACATTTTATGAAAACAAGTTCAACAATGGTGACTAAATTACTTCTTGTTGGTCGTTTATCTCAACTTTGATTAGTTGTCTGCGATCTTTTGTTCTGCTTGTCCAAAGGTTGAGTGGAAGACCATCTGTGTGCACTCCAGGTGCTCAAGATGAACTCCGCCTTTTCAGTTTGCATAGGAAATGTTGTAGCTTTTTGATAGATCTTATCCTTTTTGTAATCCTGTGTTCTACTGAATAAAGAATATTATTATTTATTCGGATGGTACATATCGTTAATGTTAACCTACATTGTCTAATAGGTCTACTCACAGGTCACCGTCATCTGAAGCATCATATAAAGAGGCTTGGATTAGAAGAAGGTAGCATATCTATGACTGTGTCAGTATCTACGTCTATGTCTACGTTTATGTCTACGTCTATGTCTATGTATATGTATGTCTATGTCATTGTTTGCGCCTACATCTACGCTCACGTCTATGTCTATGCCTATGTCTATGTATATGCAACTACTCCCATTTTCTCCACTCTTCCAGACCCAAGAGGAATACGCTCTGGTACTCACGCTCACCGACGGCCACTTGGGCTACGGCAACTACATTACCCAAGGCCTCCTGCTGCTAGTCGAAGACGTCAACGACAACACGCCGATATTCGAAAGTTACCAGCCGACCATCACCCTTCCCGAAGACGCTTCTCCAGGTACAATAACAACTCTCAAGGCCACGGATGCTGACGAAGGACCGTACGGACAGGTCATATATTTTCTTCAAGAAGGGGACGGCGACGATCATTTGTTTGCGGTTAACACGGTGGGAGAAAAGGCCGTGGTGCGATTAGTAGGTGAGAAAAAGTCAAATAAAGCTATAACAGTTCCAAATGAGTTGAAAGTAAGAATTGAAATACAAATACGTCTCACACACCAGAACTATACCACTCTTCTCAACTCGCATGGTGTATACTGATGACAACAACTTTGTTGTCGTATATAAAGAGTTACCATAAAAAACGCACCACAAGGCAAAACTGTCAGAGAAGTATTTTTTGCAAAAATTCAAAAACACAAGTCTAGTCAATAGAGGCAAGTCAACCCAAAAACCACTGCAAAACATAGGACGTTTTTATTCTTTGCTGAAAAAATACTCTCTTTAAGGTCAACCAAAACGTACTCTACGTTATCTTTGATATTTTCAATGATTATATATTGAAAAAAGACACATTATAATTTGATCGCATCGAAAGAACGTTCTCTGCGAGGGACCATCGACGGATATCTCTCCAATACTTTCACCATCAACGTTGGTATTCCCCAGGGATCTATTTTGTCCCGAACTCTCTTTCTTTTGTATATCAACGACTTCTTGAAAAAACAAGAATCCAATACATTGCTTTGCTGACGAAAGCACACTTGTTTTGTCATTCCTTTTGAATTCCAGGACATCTGCGGTGGATGCACATCTTCACCGGCAGCAGGAGGTGGAATATCTTAATGAGGATCTAGAAGTAATCCTGAATTGTTATGAAAGTAACCAGTTCCCACAAAAATCCAGGCATCAGTTTTCTCCAAAACGATGAATGTCTCCGAAACGGATATGTCAGGTCAGATAATTCCACCTTCTGCTTCGATAAGTTTGTTGGGGGTTAAAATGGACGTCGCTTCCCAAAAGCTTGGAACACTGTTCCGAACCAGGAAACTGTACACACCTCAACAATTTTGAAGCTTCCTAAAGCTCAGATCAGACCTTCTTTGAAGTATTGTTCTTATGTATGTGCCCCCCAAACATACCCTGAAGCTGCTGGATTCCATCTAGAAAAGAGCCATCCGCCTAATTGGAGACGCTAACATCACTTGCAACCTTGAAAGTCTGGAACATCGAAGAAACGTTGGAGATTTGTCTCTCTTTTACTAATACTTTCATGGAAAGTGTTCAAGTGACTTGGCACATTTGATTCCACCAAGAGCGGTACATATAAAAAATGCGCGACAGACTGCGGTTGCTCATCGTTTTTAGGTTCAACTCAATACACCTCGAACTTCACTGTACAAGAACTTTTTTCATGTAGAGAACGGCGTTTATGTAGATCAAACTTCCTGAGAACGTTTTTCCAAATGGAATTAATCTCCAGCGATTCAAATCCAATGTGAATCGCTACTTTAGCACAGGCACCGCTCTCAGAGTGCCTGTAGAGCTTGTGTTTTGTCCTTTAAAAAAAATAAAGATTGTGTCATTAGCAATTAAACAGGTAATGGAAAAGCAATTCCTTATTTTGTTGGTATTGTGCTATGCAATACCTAATTCTCACTAAGCTATGGCGAAAGCACTCTTTCCACCACCAGAACTGGTAAACTTTTCTCGATGCTCGTTTTGTCCACCAAAGTGATGGGTTAAAAATTGCCTGAACTTTAGATCATCTTCAGTTGCGAAATGTAGTCTTATGAATGAGCCATATTATCCCCTATTGAAGACTAAACTATCCTTGATAAAACACCTTTAAAACTCCTTCTGTTTATAATTTTCATCAAAAAAACTATTTCAATAATTATTATTGATAACAGCCGCTTTGGATTATGAAAGGCAGACCGTACATCAGCTCAAAATTCTTGCAATCGACAGAGCCAAAGAAGGTAGAGTAAACACCGCAACTGCAGCGCTTTTGATAAAGGTAGAAGATGTAGAAGATCAACCTCCCGAATTTGTTAGAGTGTCTCCAGTAGCTAGAATAGAAGAAAACAGCCCTATTGGGTCTTCTGTACTTCAAGGTAAAATCTACAAGACTCTATAAAATTTATTTCATTTCCACCTCAAATTCATTTCATTAAATTTTCAACTCCAGTCTTCATCTGTTTCAGTCGTGGCAGTGGATGGTGATCGTGGTATAAACAACCCCATCGAATACTCTCTAACGTCAAATGGTCTGAACAGGATATCTGATATTTTTTCTGTTGAGCGAGATACAGGAGTAGTTCTAACAACAAGCTTTCTAGACAGAGAAGCATTGCCAGCTGGGGCTGGAACTTATATTCTTCAGATTACGGTCAGTATTTCATCTTGGTTGAAAATTATTCAGAAACAGTGGCTCACCTCACAATTCTGAAACTGATATTCTTCCCCCCTGCGTATTTATTTTTTGACCAACTTATAGGCTAAAGAAGTTGGAAGTAAAATAGTACCAGCACCAATAGCGACAACTGAAGTCACTGTAATGGTCACTGATGTCAACGACGAAACACCAAAATTCAAAAGCAACTACTACGAATGCGATATAGCTGAAAATTCTCCTGTAAATACTCCGCTGACATTTTTAGGAAATTCGTTACCAGAAGTTTATGATTACGACCAGGTAAGTTGTGTTTCATATTCCAAAACAAAGGTATACTGAAAAGTATTCGTAAGAGATACAATCAGACATTATATTGTTGGTGGTAGAAGTAAACATCAATTGACAAAATGATTGAGGCTTTCGTGACAGTGCTGTTCAGTGTCACTATTTTTCGAGTTCAAAAGTCGTTGATTTTTTAAATTTCAACCTTTGAATTAACACCGACCTTGTGACTACGTTACGTAGAAAGCATCTTCGTCATATGGAAACTTGGTAGGAACGCTCTAGCATCAAGTTCACCATGGAGACTGAACAGGACCAGCGGATAACAAACAAAGTGTATCGAAAACCCACGCATATGAATAGATACCCACACACACTATCAAACTACCATCCTAGCGCATCTCTATTCTAACTGAACGGACTCGAAGAATATGTAAACCAGGGCATCTAGAGGAAGGACTGGAACGTCCCTAAGTGACCTTGAGATCGAATGGATACAGTATACCTGAGATCAATAAGGCCACGAGACTGAAGAGATTGTTGCACGGGCGTATCTACCATATATTTCCAGGGTCACAGACAGAATTGGAAAACTCTTGAGAAACGATCTTCCAACCACCAAGAAAATATAACAATGTCATAGGTCGGCTACAGACAAAAGAAACCCACTATCAGCAGCAGGGGTATATCGCATACCGTGCACTTGTGAGAAGGTATACATCGAAATTGCCAGAAGATCCAGGGGAACAAGGCTGAAGGAGCTTGATAGAAACTGCAGACTAGACCAAACAGACAAATCGGCTGTAGCGGAGCACGCACTCCACATGTATCTATTTGAAAACATGAAACTCATTGCCCCCAACCAGGGATGCCAAAGAATAGAAAAGAAGGAGCTGTGAACCTAAACCGAATATGGAATCGCATTGTAGGAAGTTGAAGAATAGCAAACAGTATGACGGCAGGTAGAAAACTGTCGACGAATGTTATTGACAATTTATCTAATCCAGGTTAGCACACCAAACTACCTGTGTCAACATAAACACGCTTCACGCAATTTACCTAATCCAGTATACCAAGTATTAGCACACCAAACTACCTGAGTCAATATAAACACACTTTACGCAATTTACCTAATCCAGGTACAGGTATCAGCACACCAAACTACCTGAGTCAACATAAACATGCTTTTAGCGATTTATCCAATCTAGGTACATGTATTAGCATACAAAACTACCTGATCCAGGTACATGTATTAGCACACCAAACTACATGAATTAACATTGGCACGCTTTACGAAGTTTACCTAATGCAGGTACAGGTTATTATAACATCAAACTACCTGAGTCACCATAAACACGCTTTACACAATTTACCTAATCCAGGCACGTGTATCAGCACACCAACCTACCTGAGTCACCATAAATACACTGTAAGCAATTTACCTAATCCAGGTACAGGTATTAGAACATCAAACTATCTGAGTAACATAAACACGTTTTAAGCAATTTACCTGATCCAGAATACCAAGTATTAGCACACCAAACTACCTGAGTCAATATAAACACGCTTTACGAAGTTTATTTAATCCAGGTATTAGAACATCATACTACCTGAGTCAACATAAACACGCTCTACGCAATTTACCTATTCCAGATACAGGTATTAGCACACCAAACTACCTGAGTCAACATAAACATGCTTTTAGCGATTTATCCAATCTAGGGACATGTATTAGCATACAAAACTACCAGAGTCAACATAAATACGTTTTACGCAGCTGTAAATCCAGTCATCGGAGAAAAACTCAAGATGTATAAACATCTGAAGAAGCCAGCGAAACGTCAAGAAAAAATTCCAAAAATCCACGCCCTTCAAACCCGAAAAATAGTGACACTGAATTATAATTGCTGTATCACCACTACTATAATTCTCCATGTCGTTTGAAAATACTGAAAATAAACTGTTCTCAAAAACTACTTATTGTCGAAGAAATCAAGAAGTATACTTCATTTATTATTTCTACTCATTCATATCCAGAAGGATAAATAAGGTCATTCCATATGTACCACACCGAGAACACAAATTTTCCAATTAATTACTTCTGTTTAATATTATAAACCAATTATTTGGATAATTCGAAGATCAAGATTTAAAATTTTTCACCGGGATGTTAAAACAAACAATTAGTAAAAGTAACTCTGACATATTTCCTTGAGGAACACCAATGCCAAAGTTCACCTCAGTTTTATTTCTTCTAGGGAATAAATGGTACTTTCCATCTTTACGTCAAAGGTGCTGGAGACACCTTCGATATAACTCCCAACAAAGCTGTTAACGAAGCAACGTTCATGATTCGGGTCAAGAACAGTACCGCCTTGGATTTCGAGAAGATCAAGAAGCTCAACATCACTCTGATCGCCAAAGAAGTCGTTAAAGATAACCCGAAATTCAGTGAAGCCGCTGTTACCGTTAATCTTCTCGATAGAAACGACAACTTTCCAGAATTCACCAAAAGCCTTTACGAAGTCTTCGTGCCGGAAAATTGCGACGTTGGAACTACAGTTGCATGGATACAAGCTCTGGATGACGATTCTGGAAAATTTGGGACAAGAGGGATCAGATACACGAATGTGGCTGGAAGTATAGATTATATGTAAGTTCTTAGAAGTTCATGTTTATTGTGACTGACACCAGGCTAGCGTTTAGCAATCGGTTTTCTCAAGTTTGTTTATTTGCTGGTTATGGATCAACGATGTTGTATTTTCCTTCGCTTGGAATTATGGAAAAATCAATAATTTTCAGTGCAATAATCCAATGCTTATTTGAATGCTGTCCTTTTATTGTGCCGAAACCCTCTATTACGACTACCTAGTAGACCCATAATACATGCGACAGTATAATCTATTTTGGTTCATATCAAGACCTTATACTTTATTAAACAAGCAAAAAATTAAGAGACTATTCCTTTGACTATTCTAAGGATATTTTGTCCTTTAATGATTTTTGATAGGACGCTTTGTTACGAAGGTACGGGGCGGGGCGAAAAAGAATTTCGACAATAATAATTGTGGTAATTTTGAAATAATTAACGTATCCGAAATAAAAGTATAGCGTTCTACACTGGACCTACTAAGTAATAAAAATCCTAACAATTCCGTTGGTACCTACCAACAACATTCCGATTACTAGAAACGGCTGCAGACAGTCAATTTGCTGGGTATAACGCAATCAGAAACGATCCTGGTGTTTTGAAAGTGATCGGGAGTCGATGAGGAGAAGATTGGATACAATTTTTGGTAAAAAAATGTATTGTTGAAATTCTTAGAAACGAAGCGCCCTATCAATAATCATCAAAAGACAAAATGTCCTTTGAATAGTGCAAGGAATAGTCCCTTAAATTTTTGCCGCATGCTTAATGAACACCCTGTATGAGCATTTTTGTCACAACCCCAGTTTATATTTGCTAGAGATCTTAATGGGCTCTATGCTATTTTGCGTTCTTCGATTCGTGGACCAATATTTGGTCGACCCAATAATTTTGTAAAACTTTCATATTCTATCCTTTTGGTACAATTTTAATTGCCGCTTATAATATAAATGTTGCAAGCACAAAAATGGACACACAAGAGTTTTTTCTAGTGTCTGAAAACTGATCTCAGCTTATTCAACTCTCTAAATGAATTATTGATTAGCATTTGTGTTTTCTGTTCAATTTTTTCAATTGATGAAATGAACTCTCAGCTATATTATTTGGAACTAGGAATGATGTAAGTTACGCTTCGGAATAAAAGTCTAGTTTCCGCCTTGCAACAAATTATTCGCCGCCTTGCAACAAATTATTCGCTGCCTTGCAACAAATTATTCAATTTTACAAATATGCATCTTTTTTCCATATTTTCGAAACCATTAGACATTGAAAAACTGCTTATGAATAAATACTGGGTGTCCCATCAAATTCCCAGTTATTATATTTTGTAGCCAAAAACAACAGGACACCTCCAAGTTCATTTCAAGGAAACTATACATTTTGGCATGCAGGGTGTTTTTTTATTTCATCTACCTACACTCCGGAGCCTCCTTATACATATATAGGGTCTTCCAACAGGGACTTCAGAAATTTGACAGAACAATTGATAACGGCATTCTTATTGAAGCTGCATCTGTCAAATTAGTTGTCATTCATCCAGTCAGGACGGATATAGCATTTAACAACACGTGCAAATAAAGAAATTGTTCAATCAAATTGATGTTCTGTTCGGGCAACGTACCGCGCGCTACGCCCATTTTACGGTCACCATAATCGTCCTACCGAGAGGACTTCGAAATGTGTTGAATAAATTTGGGTCCACTGGTTCAGTAAACTATCGACCAGCACCCGTACGTCGTCGACAAAACGCAAAATCTGTCGAACACATCGCCGCTGTCTGTGAGAGTGTGCAAGAGAATCCGAGACAGTCGATTTCGCGTCGCTCGCAAGAACTCACTTTTCGCAGACCACAACTTGGCGAATTTTGCGTCGAGACTTGGGCTTGCACCCGTACAAAATTCAACTGACTCAGGAACTGAAGGTAAACGACCATAGACAACAACGTCTGTTCTCTGAATGGGTTCTGAGGCAATTGGCAACTGACCCTAATTTTCATCGAAAAAACATCTTCATAAATGAGGCCCATTTCTGGAAGAATGGGTACGTGAACAAACAACATTATCGAATTTGGGACGATATCAATCCATATGAGATCCAAGAGCGTCCAATGCCTACCGGACGTTAGAGAGATGAATTGTGGAGTACCTCAAGGCTCTGTATTAGATCCCATACTGTTTCTGTTATATAAAAAATGATTTAACCAGCATATCGATTACAGAAAGATTTACCTTATTTGCTAACGACACCACATTATTGTGGCATAACAAGGACAAAAACAGATTGCATAACAAAATATGCCATGACATGAAAAAAGTAAAAATTGGTTTGACTCGAATCTTTTATCATTGAATACCAGCAAAACAAATATATTAGCAATCAAGTGTAATATACCTGATATCCCCCTAGACAATACCACAATAAAAAATAACTCCACTTTGAAATTTTTGGGAATTTATTTAGATGAAAATTTAAAATTCTCGCAGCATATTGCACACACCAACAAAAAATTGATATCAAATTGTTTCGCACTGAGAAACATCTCAAAGAAACGGAGGTTTGCTGCAGCGAAAGAAGTGTACGATTCCTTAATAGACTCCCATCTAAGGTATGGTATACCCTTTTGGGGTGTTTGCAGTAAACAACTCATGCAGTCCGTTTTTGTCTTTATAAAAAGGGCTATTAGGTACATATGTACAGCGAAATGGCATGATTCATGTAAACCCATTTTTCGAGAACATAGAATCCTTACGGTTATTTCAATATTTACATTGGAAACCGTATCGATTATACATAAAAATAGGGAAAACTATGAATCTACAGCTACAACCACAAATTGAATAAATTGATTGATTGATTAATTGATTGAGTATTTCTAAATCTTTCAATACTCTTGTTCTTTATAGTGATTTTTTATTTCCATTTTACAATTCCAATCCTAAATCTCTGCAACTCTGACCTTTACAAGTAAGACCAATACTATTTTTTTTTTATTTAGCATAGACATTTTCACATTGCCTTCTTAAAAATGAATAATTTTGGACTCATTTGAATTATTTATTATGATACTGATGTAGGTACCAAAAATAGTGAAATAGAATACGAACTACTCGGCACGATGAAAGACAATTTCACCATAGACTCCGTGACAGGAGTTATCCAAGTTAAATATCCCGTAGATTTTGAAAATCTCAAAGGGACATCCAAGGAAAACGTGAGGATATTGTACTTAACCGTAAGGGCGAGAGATTGGGGAAGTCCCAGCTTGTTTACAGATGCCCCTTTGCTGATATACGTCGAAGATGTTAACGATAACAAACCCATGTTCGAGTATACTTTTTACAATAAATCGGTGGCAGAGAATGTTCCTGGAGCAACATCAATACTTCAGGTAATTATGAAAATTATTTAAGAGAAAACTGTCCACAAGCTATAATTGGCATAACACGAAAATTATAAAATTATTAGATCCACCTACATAGTTTTTTTCTGTTTCTGGTCTGTCCATTGGAAAAATTGTTACTAGTAACTAATGAATATTTTATCCATCAATAGAAACGTCTATCATATCTCATTGCAATTGCATTGCAATACCAGTTTGATAAAACTTTCCAATAGAATATTGCGTATTTTCATAGAATTTCCATTCCTGATAACTAATTGAAAGTAAGTAATTGAAGGTATATTATTCTCGTATATACTCGGAATATTTTGTAAATGAAACAATTCATAAACAAAACCCATAACTATAAGCATGACCACTCTTACTTACTCTATTTGGATATGATACCTTAATTTTTTGGTCTTTCTGAAAAGGTAAATCGTATCGGTTTTGAATTTGATGTTTGAACAAAAACTGTGACGACAAATGCTAGAATGCTTCAGAGCAAAAATTTATAATCACTTATTTAATTTGTATTATACCCAGATTTCATAAATTATTTCTAATTCCATTATTTTTTACACTTCGTCAATTAGACACCCTCTCAGATAATAAAATAAATGTATCGAAAAAAATTCAAAATATAAAATTCAGCCAGTGTCATTCCATTTCAAAAAATTTTGAATTGACGTTTTATCTATTTTCAGAGCAATTTTTATAGTTTTTCCAAGCATTTCAAAAAGAACACACAGTTGGTATCCGAAAAGTCAACCAAACGGGGTACATTTTGATTGGAATGTCAAATAATTTTACTTTTTTGAATGTATAGACAAAAATTAATACTGATACGTACCTCTTACTAATAAGATGAATCCTTATTTTCATTTTCTATGAAACGTAGTAATATTTCTGGGCAGATATGATAACTTGCCCTTCATATTTGAAGCATCTTGAGAAAATTTTTCTGTATTGAGAGAGTGATAAAAATCAAGAATATGTTATCACGCATATCTGAAATATTTGAATAGATTTGAAAAAATAAAAGGATACAAATGAAAAAATAACTAAATTCAAAGTTTTTCGGTCATACATTTTCACAAAAATTGGTTATTTGAGTCATATCAAAAATAAAAGATATTGAGAATTGAAGATAGATCATACATTCATATATTTATCTTCGAAAACACACTTTGGTCTACTACATTTATGGATATCATTTTTTGTTGTAGTAAAAGAATTAATTTTACAGTTTTGCTATATGATGGAATTTATGGATGAGATTTTCACAAAACAGTTTTACAAAAACGCAACACGTTTCGCCCTACAATGGCTGTATCGGGCGTGTCTTTACTTAGTTTTTATTTAGAAGCCAGTATATAGCGAAACACGTGTTGCATTTTTGTGAAACTGTTTAGTAGTGAAAATCGCACAATAAAGTGTTTTTTGAATACGTTATAGTTTTTCCTAATATTTTAACCATCTTTCATAAGTTGCATCCTTCGAAAAATCTCACGGAAAAAAGTCGAGGGAGTTAGGTCGGAAGCCCTGGGAGGCCATCGAATGGGGCATGCGTTCTTTCCATTTATCTTCGATAGATATCACCAAAAACTGATACATTCTTTTACAGTTATGAGCTGGTGCTCCTTCCTGCTGGAAATACAAATAGTTTCTATTCCTGAGGTCAAGTCCAACCAAAATTCAGAAAGACGGTCATGACCTCTACATATTTTGCAACATTCAAAAAGCCATTTGAAAAAAGGGACTAATGATTCTCAATCCAATTATTCCGCAACAATTATGATCCGAAGATCTTTAGAATATATCAAAAAAGATATATCCTTGTTATTCTACCACTCTAGATGTTGATGAAATCAAATAAACGAGATGTCGCATTGAAAACTGGTCCATACCAGATCATAAACTCATGAAGCACCACAAAAAATTCCTCTGTTCGACTTTCACGTCATTTGCTAATTTATTCAAATTTGTAAGTCTTACCATTTCCGAGATAGCTATAATGGTATCAACTGAAAGGGATGTATAACCAAACTGAAAAATTTCTTTGCTTTTGAAGGTACATGCTCGTGACTTGGACGGCTCATCTCCAAACAACCACGTTGTCTACCGAATCCAAAACGGAGCTTCAGACAAATTCACCATCGAAGCTGAAACAGGAATCATCAGAGTAGCCAAGGGGGCCTCTCTAGATCCCGACCTCACACACCCAAGGACCATGCGCTACTCCCTAGAAGTCGTGGCCATCGACGGAGCCCCGGGAGACAGTCAGCTTCAAGACGCGGTTACTGCCGACATCCAAATCGTCGACGTCAACAATAAGCTTCCGATATTCGAGGAACCGGGAGCTGTGTATGTTTTGGAGAATGCGCCGGTAAATTGTTTGGCGAATTTATAGTGGTATCATTTAAATTTGTAATCTTGGAAAAAACATGATAGGTGAAAGAATCTGTTCCAAATGAATAAAAAACAACTACATACACAGGGTGGACCATTCACAGTATGAGGCAGTCCAATAGCCAAAGACGATGTTAGATTTCCTAGCCGAAATACGAAAAAAGTTTTGAGAAAATGTAATAGCATTGATCAAGGCTCGTATTCTGAAAATATTTTAGTTCATAGAGGGCATCTCAAAAAGTATGAATTATGAATTCAGCATAAAATTGCAACTCTATTCATAATTTTCTAAAATATTGAATATTGACAATGCATAATTATGACTTTATAAACATCATGGACAACATAAATATTCAGATTCACTACATCAAGGTTTTCTTTATTAAAATAGATGGGTTTCACGGATTTCCTAATACTACCCCTAAAGTTATATCTGATTGACATGAAGCAGTTTTAATACGAGTCATTCAAATCTCCGAGTTATTATGATAGCTCAGGTGTGCCACAGGGTTATCATTCAGGCCCCTTGTGATTCGATAATTTATAAACGATCTCTGTTGAACCATAAATGTTTTTAACCAACGGTTTTGACGAAACCGTACGCCATACAAATTTTGGATTTATTTATACAGACTCTAGAAACTTCTGGAAGAGTTCTATTTCCAAACCAATTTTGAATTCATTTATGCGATCCAGGTTGGAGTATAGTACTTTGATCTGAAACCCCCTATCAAATCAATTATATCGAATCAGTACAGGGTTGCGAAGCAGATGATATTTATCCTAATAAAGGATTCTTTGAACAAAAAAAGAGTCCATACAAAATTCTTGTTTGATAGATAATGATATAGATAACGGCGTTTTTTTGAGATAATTAAACTTCCTACTGCCGCGGTTGGGAAAAAACCATTATTTCTTTTATTTAGATAATACCCGAACAAATGCTGGTTTAAAATTAGCCATTTGATTGAAATTAGTCAGGTTTGCAATACTGAATACGGAAAATCATATCTATATAATAGATTATAATAATGTCGAATGTTTCCATTGTTCAATTATTTGTACACACTTCCAAGTTGGTGATATTTTATAATGGTGCAATTAGAAGGTTCAAGTCAGAGATGTAGATAAGCCTTTCCTGTAATTGCGTACGTCGTTGAAAATAAAATCCTTTTTTATGACGTACCAACTTTGCAAAATTTGAAATGCTAACTCCATTTTGTAAATTTAATACCATATAAATATATCAAAGTCACATATTGTCAAGTATTCCATTTTCTACAGATTCACAGGACTTATGTTCTAACATTTGCAGGTTTTATATTTCAAATAAACCAACAATCAATTTATCATCCCAAGCCTAATCTTCTTGATTTAATTTAACAACAACAAATTGGTATTTCTAAAAATGTCTCTAATAAATTGCTTGACATCAGCCTTAATTTCAATCGTAAGTCGATGTAGGTACTATATCTTCGAAAGGATATGTTATTTTTTCTCATTTCAATTCAATTTTTGTTTCACACAATTACATGGATTCATCAGACATGACATAGGTACATAATATACTGGAATGAATCGATAGATCTAAGAAAAAAATTTTCGACAATAAACCTAGCCATCTATGAATAATTTCTATGATTAATAATATTTTTGAACATTCTATTTCTCTAACTCTTGCAAAGTTGCCACATTTCCATTCCATAAGGTAAAGTGGCCAGGAATGTTAACTTAGCCATTATAAAATCATAAACTTCCTTGAACGTATACTGTATCAATTTGAGGTTGATTAGGCTGAGTTTTTTTCAAATGTCACCATAAAAATGTAATTGATAATAAAAGTCCCTATTAATGCCAAAATTACTGTAAACTTCCAACTTCCAACAATACCTACTGAACAAAATTGGAAAAATCTTATTAACCGATCGCACTAATGGCTTCTCTATACGTTAGTTCACAACTACTGTATGGTGAAACAGGTGTTATCTTTTTTTTACAGTTCCGTGAATATTTCACAATGAAATGTTGGTGAATATATTTATCATGGCTTTCATCAAGTATCGACCAATTCAACCACATTATCAATTAGAAGTATTAAAAAGTCATTAGTAATAAAAAGTTAGATGTGCCAAAGTAGCCTATATTCCATATATAATACCATTTATTGTTTCACCATTGTTGATAAGAATAACAACGTCTGTCGTGTTTCAAGGTCGGCACAATCATCGCCAACCTGACCGCTAAGGATCAAGACTCCACAGCAAAACTAGTTTATAAAATCAACGACGACGAATGTATAGCCAGAAACGAAAGAGGAATCGTTTTAAGAAGACAAGATTTGGACTGTTCCAGCTCTTTCCACCTAGAACCAATAACAGGCGTGATGATCGTTAATAAACAACTAGATAGAGAAACAGTGGAAAGTTTTCATGTTGGGCTAGTTGTTGAAGATGTAAATTCAGAAACTGGTCCACAAAAAGCTCACGGTAGGATTTATCAGTGATATTGTTATCCCTAAGAGTTCTTTTTGAATAAGCATAAGTACTAATTGAAATCCATATTCAAGAAAACAAAAATTTATATATCTAGCACCTCAAAAGAAATAACCTTGTGAACGAGTTCGTCAAACATAATCTTGTAGTAGCCTTTCGTGGCTACTACGTAAAGTTACAAAAGTTCTATATATTTAGATGTTGGGGATCAAATATTAGAACGACGTTGAATCATTCGTTTGGTAATAGATACATTTTTAGATTATCCGCCTAGAATTAGTGAGTTTGGTATGAAGAATATTAAGGTGACCTACACCATTGCCATGACATCGATGACTTGATTAGGGTCGACTTCAAAGTATTCAAAGAATTTCACTAGTTCGTACTTCCATTGTCTAATAATGAAAATAAGCAAACAATCAAAAATTTTACATTTTTTGCTTATTTTCAATTTATTGTGTTTTTCGCTCAATATAACTGTTATTTTAGCTATTCATTTATATCATATTATATCATATCTGACAATGGAAGTCCAAACTAGTAAAATTCACCATGAAACCACTTTCAAACAAATATTCGAAGGGGCTTGGCCATCATCACTTTTTAAACTTTCCGATTTTTAATTTAAATCAATTTAGAAAATAAACAAACAGAATTTATCAAATTAAATTAGCTCTATTATACAGGGTGGGGCACCGAAAACAAAACTGGTTGAATATCTTCAAAACACATGTTTTATGAACAAAATGCAAAAACACGTCGATTTGTAATCCAAGGGGGTCATCTTTGGGGTCATCTTTCATAACCTCAACTGTCATACATCTCCCCCCACCTCTCGATCACTATCACCCAAACAATTTGAATAGCGAAAGTAGTAAGTGTGACACATCATAAAAAAGGTAATTTCATAAGGAATTCGGGCAATTTCGCTACCCAACTTTCTATTTTGGCGCCCTCTTGCGAAAAAAAATTGACAATGCAATAAGGAATGTTTCTGAGGGAAAAAACAAAATGGTGGTTCCACAATGGCGGACGATATTTGTATGTAGGGATATTCAGGGTCGGAAATTTTGTCGATGCCAAAAACAAAATGGCGGATGATATTTGGAATTGTGGTTCTATTCGATTCAAAATTGCCATATGGAGGTTTCACAAGTTTCCAGTATGACTAAAAAATTAATTTTTATTTGTAACGTTGGTTATTCTATTAGTAACAGAATCATACTCTTACCACGCAAGAATACCTATTTTGTACTCGTGGCAAGTTACCCTTTTTCTTCTCATCGCATTTGAAAGCTTTTTATTCAATTTTATTCAATTCGTGTTATGCTGAAAATATATACCCGAAAATCCCAACAATCCAATTTTTAATCGAATCGGACCATAATTACAAATGTAATCCGCACTCCTGGACCTACCATTTTATTGTTTTTTATTGCATCGACAAAAAAATCTTCCGACCCTGAAAATCCCCACATTCAAATCAGACCATAATCACAAATTTCGTCCGCCACCTTCGAGCCACCATGCTATTTTTTTGCATTGACAAACAAATCATAATTTTCCACCCTGAAAACCTCCACTTATCAATTTTGAATCGAATCGGACCATAATTGCAAATATTGTCCGCCATTGTGGAGCCGCCATTTTGTTTCAACACTTAGCAACATCCCATAATGCATTTTCACCGAATTTATGTCAAGTTAGCTTGCAAATTAAGGATCATAATTTGAAATACGGAACAGTTTTTTCCCGCAAGAGGACGCCAAAATAAAAAGCTAGGTAGCGAACATTAACATAGCCGAATTCTTTATGAAATTACTTTTTTCCCTATTCAAATTGTTTAGGTGATAGTTACCGAGGGGTGGGGGGAGAGGTGTGACAGTTGAGGTTAGGATAGAAATATTTCCCCCTTGGATTACAAATCAACGTGTTTTTGCTTCAGAAAACATGTATTTTGAAGATAATCGATCTGTTTCGTTTTTGGTGCTCCACCCTGCATATTCATATAAGAGATGAAAATAAAATAGTTCAAAATAATGAAGAAAGAGGGCTTGAATTGCTTAAGATTATTTTAAAGGTTCCTAAACCACATATATCAACAGTGGATACAACATGTGCCAATGGAAAAATTCTTTGAATCTGCAGTTAATGAACCAAAACGTATATATTTTTGTAAGACTGGAACCAGATCCCTTGGAACTTGTACCCACATAGCAGTTATACTTTGTTATTTTATTTTGAACTAAAAATGATATTGACCTTCACTCATGAGTCTTTGGCAAGGTTCCTTAAGGCCTCACTCTAAACTCAACAGTGTATTTCTGTGATAAAAAATACTTTACATTCATTTTATCTGAACATCAACTGACCTCTAACTCTAGGATATATTCCAGCCCATCTTAGAATGAGTAACTCCAAATTCAGCAACATATTTCTGCCATGAAAATAGTTTTTTCCTTGTTATTTTATTTTGATCTTAACCTGTTTCTTCACTTAGGATCAATGAGAAGATCACCTCAAATTGTCCCACACCAAACTCATCAATACCTTTCTGTTTCATATGTAGTATATCATATTACTGAAGTTGATGCAGAAAATTGACAATCGCATGTTTCAATTCACCCAATTACAGCATCAATAAAGGTCAACATTGAGGATGTCAACGACAACAGTCCCAAATTCAGAAAACCCTTTTATAAATTCAGTGTGGCGGAGAACAGCAAAAACGGAGTTCCCATTGGGACAATAATAGCTGACGACTTGGACAAAAACAGGACCATCACGTACGGTTTGATGAGCCCCATGGAAATATCGAACTTGATTTATTTGGATCCAGAGAGAGGAGATCTGGTTGTATCAGGGAAAATCGACCACGAACTTTTTCAGTGGCTAAATTTGACGGTAAGTGTGTTCACAATTGAAAAACCTTTCAGTTACTCAAAAAATAACCATCACTAAATGACTATTATGAATGAAAGCAATCGAAACGTTACAAAATATTCTTCAAATCTGATCCTTTCTGCTTGAACCAATTCAATTACACTCATTAATAATTTCAACTCCATCACTGAATTATTTTAATATGAGACAGCATTAGAAAATTACTTTTTCTGAATGTGTAACATTTTGCGGCGTTAAATGCTTCTCTTGAATAAAGGACGTCGTTTGATGTACAGTTTGCTATTCTATTCAATAAACCAATACATGATTCAGAGGAAATAACATATGAGTTATGGAACGACCGTTCCCACGGATTGCTGCTCTCACGGAAACATGATCTGCTGACAGCGGTTTTCCAAGAAATCCTTATCTGGACCTGCGAGGCGATGTTCATCATTTAACGTTCATTTTTAATCATTCTATTTGTAACTCTTGATAGAGAAAGTCGTTTTCAATTGTAGATTTATAAAATAAATATTTTTTAAAAACACAATTCTCCGTTCAAAGTATTTAACTGGCGCAGTCGGTAGGATATTTTCGGGGTGGTAGTTGCCTGGGTTGGACATTTATTGGTTGATTGGGCCAAATGGGTATCGGAGAGAAGTTTGGGTTCGAAAAATTAGTGTTGGGATAATTGAATTGTCTGTGTGATTGATTTGGTATTGTTTGTTGAACGGTGGTGTTCGTTGGGACATTGGTCATGTGGGTATGTCTGTTGGTATGAGTATTGAATTTGGTTCTATAGTTATCTTGGGCGGTGCTATATAACTTTTCGAATCAATTCAATTTCTAATCAATTTTTCCTGGATGCATTCAAAGACATGTTCGTTCAAAGATGCATCGTTGAATGTTTCATAGGTATTAATCAATGAATCACACTTATCAATAAATTTATTAAGTGCGTTACTGTCACCATCAAAAGGTTTCAGAGTATTAAGTCGAGACTTGGAAAGATCCCAGTTCATTTGAACATTTTGTTGCTGTGGTGGAGCCATTGTTATTACTGGTAATATTGATTCAGGTTCAGAATTACTTTCGCTAACTACTGAATTTTCTTGTACTGATAAATTACCTAGTCTATTTAAAATATCGTCAAGCTCGTTCATGAATCAATATTCAATCAATAGATCTGTATTATTGACTTCAGATTCGAATTTATTGAAATTTCTTGACGAAAATTCACAAAATTGATTTTTCTTCTTAAATTACTCGTCTAGAATAGACACCGATTTTGTTCGCAATGAACTGCCCTAAATTATCTTCACCGAAATCCTTATGCTGAAGGTTCAGTAAAGGCGAAAAGGAAATTTGGCACTTACAGTTATTTTGGTGGTCCAAAATCTTGTAGTCGCCAGTTCCTCCTCCAATAATTCTTTGTAGCCTCCAGAAGTAGGGTCGTTTCTTGGTCCGTCCGGTACAATCCTCGATGGATCACGATTTTTCGAATTTGTGCTTGAGAAGTAGACACTCCAAGTCGCGAAAAATTACTTTTAACGCACTGCACAAATCCTACCGACTGCGCCATTTAAATACTTTGAACGGAGAATTGTGTTTTTAAAAAATATTTATCTTATAAATGTACAATTGAAAACGACTTTCTCTATCAAGAAATACAAATAGAATGATTAAAAATGAATGTTAAAATGATGAACATCGCCTCGCAATTCAAGATAAGGGTTTCTTGGAAAACCGCTGTCAGCAGATCATGTTTCCGTGAGAGCAGTAATCCGTGGGAACGGTCGTTCCATAACTTATGTAACAATTTATTAAAGAAAATGAAAACAAAATTGGGAGATTTTCAAAAATTATTTCAGCAATATTGAATCTAATACTAGGCATCATCTTGTCAAACTGGTATAATTAAAGTTTGGAAAAAACTTGATTATTATTGGAACTGCTGAATATGAAACTATCGAAGAGTCAACTAAAAATACTTCAATTAGAATTTACCCCGGCACTGAAGAAAATGTTGAATTATATCTTCAAATCGTAAAATTTTAGACTTTACATGTCAAAGAGTGCGAGAAGCGAGCTAAACCTACAAAAAATAAGTTTTTGTTGTATGGTTCGGTGTTAACGCTTCTGTTATAGCTGATGTTTATGAATATTTGTTCCTTCCAAAATGTTGACATGATTTGACTAATATGTTGCATTTAGATCGTTTCATTGGTTTGGACTTTCATTTCATAAAATATGATATAAATTGATTTGAAATCCCTGAAAAAAATTTATAAAAATTAAAAAGATTAGCTGAAAAATAACAATTATATTAAGCAAAAAAACTCGGAATGGCTCAAAAGCTCGGTTTGACTCCGGATCCCCTGGCTCAGCCTGAAACCGAGCTTTGGCTTGGGCTTTCATCTAAGAAAAGAACTAAAAAATTAAATATATTTTCTCAGTAAAGATGACTCCAGTTGCAAATCTGAGTATAGTTTTCGTTCAGTGTAGCTAACATTTATAGTGTTACAGTAGAACAAAATATACATTCTTTAACATCTTTAACATATACGATGAAGAATATAAAATTAAGCAAATTTGTGTTTTTGAAGTCAAAACACCAAATTTTCTAAAAAATATCTTTTTCAAGAAATCGATTATAAAACAAAATTCCCTATTGTTCAGACCTCTAGCGACACTGTCGAAATAAAGCAACATATTACTTTTCAGATAAAAGCAACCGATAATGGTATGCCGCCCAGATCTAGCGGGGTGGAAGTCTTCATCCAAATCCTAGATGAAAACGACAATAACCCCTACTTTCTCGCAGAACCGAACTCCATCTTAGTACCGGAAGACATCCACGTGGGCAGAGAAATAGCCAAACTACAAGCGATAGACGCCGATTCAGGGGAATACGGGAAAATAACCTACCTCATGGACAGGCTGTCGTCTCAAGGAAAGTTCAGTTTGGATGCCGATACCGGGATATTGAAAGTGGCCGATAAACTCGACAGAGAGGAGAAAGCGAATTATTTGTTGATTATAGAAGCTTGGGATAATTATCAGTACGGGTTCAATAGCGGTGAAAGTAGGAATGCTTTCAAACACGTCAAGTATGTTGGTTGTCAATCATATACTGTAGCGATGAAATTTTGTATATGCCACCTATAATTTTTAGTTCAGAATTTCCTTTTTCTTCTTAGTTTTGAAAATAAATTCGGTACAATTTTGACACATTACTAAACTGACTAATGGCAGTAAAAATAAATGAAAAAAATAAGTAAAATATTTCATTTACAAGAAATCAATAGAAAAAAATAATTTACCTCGTATTGAATAAAACCTATCAATTTATCCTCTCGTAGAAGTCCATTATATCTCAAAGTAGAGTGCAATATATTTCCAAGAATAAAAACTCAAAGTGGTCTCCACAATTTAATACGTATGACCATTAGATGTTAGAACGGTAAAACCATCAATCAGAACATGTTTCGAACCTATATAGGTTCATCATCAACTAATTATTTAAAATTCTACAATAAAAGAAGAACAACATAACAATAGTTAATGCAATGAAGTATAAAATACTTACATGGAGAAGAAAATATTTTATGGAGAAAAGAAAATTGTCACATGTTAAAAGTGAAACAAAATGGTCAGTATGACATGAAAAAATATTTTTAAGGTAGTGAAAAACGGAGAAATTTATAACATCATATTTCTCAGTGATTTGTGGTCGGCTTTTATACCCACTCATTAACATCAAAATCATCAAACGGTACATGAAAACGACTTATAAAGAAAATATCCGAAAGGAATGATTGAGAAAGGGAATCAACTGTCAGAAATATATAAAGAGATAAAAATCGAGATGACATGGAACAATGGCTAGAGATCCGCAAACAGAACACAACAGGACAAGGAACACCGCATACATATTAACTGGTGTTCTGTGCAAACAGATCCCATACCATTTATACATGCCATCTTGTTACAAAGATAAGGGTTTGTGGAAGATTAAGGAAGGGATTTTTTTTTTAATTAAGAGAATTGAAAAACTTTTGGCAATCAAACTGTACTTATTCATTGACATTAGGAGTGTTATAATAGCAGAGTTAATTTTAAAAATTTCAAGTAAATTAAGTATAGTGCCTTTTTGGCAAACGTGTAAAATATCTAAATCAGAATCAATATCAAAACCATGTTTGTGATTACCAATGTGGTTAGGGAACGAACGTTTAGTGTTATAATCATCTAAGCGTAAGTTTCTGAAATTGTCAATTAGTTTAACATATTCAAGAATTCTTTGTTTTAATTTTCCTACTACTTTGTTCTACATACTGAGCAACCCAAGAACAGATACCTGGGGAACCGTAAAATAATACTTTCTTATTGATTTTAGCGTAACCATTTTGGATGTGAACGATAATGCACCTGTACTCCACGTCCCTCCGTATTGCGTAAATATAACAGAATTCCACGAACCAGGGCAACCTGTAACAGCTGTTCACGCCTCAGATGCTGATGATCCGGAAACTTCAAACGGACAGGTAAACATCATCGCCAGCATATGTTCGAATAGAGTCTTCAGTACTATTAAATAACTATACAGTGAAGACGTAAAAAGTCCTCTCCCCTCCCTTAAGTTCCGAACGGAACAAGCAATCGAGGTCGGGTAAAATTCAGGTAAAATGGTATTACTTTTACTACCTTTTAGCAAAAAAAGGATTGTGGTCACGTGGCTCCTGGTTTTGGCTTTCCGAGTCTCTATCCAACACCGCTGTGTTTGTGAAAATCGGCCAAGCCGTTTCAAACTGACAAGCATTCGAAAATTGCTTCAAATATGTTACAAATTAAAAACCTAAATAACTTTTGATTGCAACAAAATTTCAAGTAACAATTTCAACTATTTTAACAAGTGCTCGAAAAATGTTCACCGTTGACTTCTTGACAGAAAAATAGTCGGTTTTGGAATTCATTCCGAACGTTATCAAATGTTTCCGGGGTAATACTGTAACACACATCTGTTATTCGGTCCATAAGATCCTGGAGTGACTGTGGCTGCGTGACGTACACCTTAGATTTTATGTACCCCCACAGAAAAAACTCGATAGGTGTCATATCAGGTGACCTAGCTGGCCATTCAAAGGGGCCACGCCGGCCTATCCACCTACCCGGAAAATCTCATTAAGCCATTCTCGGACAGATCTGTAGTAGTGAGGGAGTGCACCATCTTGTTGAAAGGTAACATTCATTTTAAATTCATTTGGGTTTGCCTCATTCACTTCTTGAATAATGTAATGGATATGATTTTTAAGCATATTTAAATACAGATGCCCAATTACATTTTCTGCCATAAATATTGGGCCCATGATATGGTCTTCCAAATTACCAGCCCATACGTTGATCTTGCGTTTTTTTAAATATTTTTCAACAGTGGTCGTAGATACGCCACAATCCGTGGCTACCGTTTTCGTTGTTTGTTCCAGATTATTAACAACAGCTGCCAGAACGTCGATTTGCTGTTCTTCTGAAATAGATTTTTTCTCCCAGATCCTTTTTCCATGATTACGCAACCAATCCTTTGAAATTTACTGACTATATCCCTTAAGTAGGTAGGAGATATTGGATTATTTGGGAAGCACTCATTAAATATTTTTTCTGCTTCATGGTAATTACGCCTAGCTTCAGCGTAAATTAAAATTGCTTCGGTTATTTCTTCAAAAGGACGGGGACGAGGCCTTTGAAAATTATAAAGAAATGCTAAACCTATGAAAACTGTCAAAAGTATCGATATGATTAACGTCAATATTAAGACCGACATTGAAATGAAATGCTATTTGGAGTATCTAGCAAAATAACTAAGGCATAAAAACTGAAAAATATATTTGGAGCAAATTTCAAACGCTTGTCAGTTTCAAACGGCTTGGCCGATTTTCACAAGCACAGCGGTGTTGGAAAAGAATCGGAAGGTCTTCAAAATTCAAAACCAGGAGCCACGTAAACCCCCTTTACATAAAAAAAGTTGATGGTGCCATCTTGACACTAGGCCACGTGACCACAATCATGTGTATGCCAAAACGTAGTGAATGTAGTACCTTTTTACCTGAATTTTACCTGACCTCGATAGCTTGTTCCTTTCAAAAGTCAAGGGGGGGGACTTTTTACGTCCTCACTGTATAATACACCGATATGTATTTGGTTTGAATGTACAAGAATCAGTAATAGGTGATATGTATGACGCTTTACTACAAAAACTTAAGATCAATTGATTTCTAGGTTATAATCGATATTGCAGACGGTAACGAGCAGAACCTTTTTGGACTCCAATTAGTATCAGAATGGTCGGTTGATATCAGGACTACCACGTCTCTTAGAGGAAGACACGGTAATTATACTCTGATAATGAGGGCTCAAGATTTGGGAATGCCTAGTCTCCTTGTTGAGGAACCTCTGAGAATTTGTGTTACGGATTACAATGATCATGCGCCTATTTTCGTCAGTCCTCCACCAAATTCTACACTGAAAGTACCAGAGGTGAGTTTAACAGAAATGTGTTTCAGTTGAATAAAGCTAGTCCTAATCTGGTGGAGGAATGAAAGGTTTCAAATTTTACTGTTCCAGTGTGGAAGTTTCCGGGTTTTGCCGTGGTCTTCTTTGATTATGATCTCCAAACGTTCAACTGGAGTGGTCGAAGTACTCTTCGTGACGTGTCAACTGAAAGTTTGGAGATTATAACCAAAAAAAACCACGGCATAGGCCGAAAAACAATCAAAACATTGACGCCAGCCGTGGTTCAGGCCGAAACCAACTGTATGAAAGCGATTTTCCGGGTTTTGGCCGGAAACGAAAATTTGCTTTAACATGGTTAGTGTTATTAACTTCCATCAAATAACAAGCAGTGTATTCATAATATGTGATACTATGTTCGTGGTAAAAAAATATTTTAGGTTGCCTCATATAATACGAAATCGAATCTAATGGTGCCAAACTCAAGAGAATGTGATGACTGCGGTAGGATCCTAGTTATATATTGTGGTATTCAAAAAACAAGAGAAGGAGAGATAAAATTGGAATCAAATGGAAAATATGAAAATTCCAGTCCTTTCGTCCGGCCTTGTAAAAGGAACTGCCCTGTATATATTTTTGGCATGAATTCGATTTTCAATTTTGACGTAATTATTCACATTTTCAACTATCGTTAATACACTGAGTATATGTTAGCCAATTTATTTTATATAAATTCTCTTTACTATAGGGATGTTTTCCTTCTTCAGTAGCAAAAACTTTTTAGCTTCTACTAACATTTCAAAAACTAAAAAACTATCTGCGATCGACGTCCTTAACATCCCTTTAACAAATTGAAAGCAGTCATGTTTGTGTGGTAGCGCAATGGGTTTGTTAATGTGTTGTGATGTTGAGCAGCACGAGGGGGGTGTTAACCCCTATGAGTCTATGACCAGGGTCCTCATTAGTGACGACTCTATAGCCCGACAAAGCACCTTAGGCCCCGTGCAATTGGGGTACGTATCATCGACTCATCTCACGATGCCATTCCTTTATTTTATTTTATCCCTTTATTCAGGAGAAACAGAATAGGATAGAATATCACCCTTAGTAGTTCATCCTCAATGAAAAATTCGAAAATATGCAACATCACGTTAAATTCATTCACTAAAGCGGTATATCAGAACACAAATTTGTTAAACATGGCGTCCCCTAAGTATCATTACTGGGGCCATTATTATTCATTATATATGAACTATATTTCTCACTTCATACAGTCTTATGAATCAATTTTGTTTGGCGCAATCAACCATGATTATCCTTTCGGGATTTGCATTATTTTTGCGTACTATAGTGAAAGGTCCATAATTATAAGAGTTTTTAAGTATAATTTTGGACAGTAACCCGCGTTGGAAGTGATACATCAAAACATTGGAAAATGAAAGATGTTCATCGATTTTCATTTTGTGTCAAATGAGAGATGTAGCTAGTCCTCATATTCTAAGTACAACCTACTTTTCTTCTATCAGCAGAAATGATATAAGCGTTTCGAAAATTTTCAGGAATAATAGGTTACTCATTCTAATATCAATCAGTCCAATTAATAATAATGTCATTACCGACAGTACACACATTTTCATATATGGTCAAAATTCACAGAAAATGGGATGTATTGACCAGATAGTCAGATGTACCTGACTATGCAGTCTGAACAGATTTCGTTTGGCAGAATTGTCTTGACAAAGATTTTTTTTTGATTTGTGTAATCGTCTTCCTACAGAATATAAATTTCTCAGTCAATTTAAGTTTTGAAGAACACTACTCAGAGATACTATCTGTCACTGAACATACTTTCACAATCTAAACTTGATGGTGTTTCTGATCATTATTTTTTTGGCCTGTAGTTTGATAAAATTTTGCGAATACATTGGTAGATATTTATTCTTGATTCATAATGATTCATTTGATTCAATTTTGAATGATTTTCTACAAACATATTTGAATATGTAGCGTGGTAAATAAAGTTAAATTTACATGCAGATTTTACTAGAACCAACTTGTTTCATAAATTGTTTGTAATAACCTAACTTTTCTAACCTGAGTAATGAAAAGAAATGGGCAACCAAATGCCCTCAAATTGGTAACCAAATGACCTTCAAAACCGTGTAACGCTAACTCCTTCTTTCTATTTAAGATTTTAGGTATTGCTTTTAGCCCCAAAAGGTCGACACAGTTCATTTGTGAACTGGTCTTGAAACTGCCTGTGAAAATAAAATTGACTTGTTTTTCCATATATAAAATTTCCAAAGGGTGATAAAACAATCAAAAGACGCGTTTTCTGAATGATGCGCTACATATGTACGTTAGACATATATATGTGGCTTACTGCCAACCCAGCCTCCCTACTCCCTACAGTCTTATCAATCAGTTTTGTTTTGTTTCCTAAGTTGCAATTTCATCGATTCCTACTTACAAATCCCAATAATTTTTAATCTTAGTACAGATTGCATCTATTGTACAATTAAACCTATTTGAAAGATTTGCTTCGAGTAAGACAATTATGAATTGCACCTTTTCCCGCTCATCCTCTAACATTGCACGATACTGATTCATTGAGCTGGTACCATAATCTGAAGGTATTCGCTTGTTTTTGCCTTGGCATTGTATTTCAGCAGCATCTATTTGGTTTGATATCCCTCAACTGAACTGTAAAAAGAAAGGTTATGGCTTTCTACTTCTCCATCTTTATACAAAAAATGTGGAAATCTTTCAAAGAAAGGAAGAAAGCAATTGAGTTCAATTTTACATTCCTTGTAATGGAACGGAATGGTCCCCCTGACATTATCAGACATTTATCATGTCAGATACCTCACCTTTTTTTCTCACTGGTTATCTCTATTCTATAGCTGTAGGTAATAATGCTTGAGTTGATTATCCTAATCTAGCACAACTAAATAAGCTGACATTTGTGATGCACTGTTTGGAACCTTTAGTGTTGTAATAAATATTACTGAAGTCCTATCCCAACACCAAACCGTTACTTTTAATACCTCGACACGTGTTGCGATCACCAAGTATCGAAGAAAGGAAGAAAGCAATTGAGTTAAATTTTACATTCCTTGTAATGGAACGGAATGGTTCCCCTGACATTATCTGACATTTATCATGTCAGATAACTCACCTTTTTTTCTCACTGGTTATCTTTATTGTATAGCTGTAGGTAATAATGCTTGAGTTGATTGTCCTAATCTAGCACAACTAAATAAGCTGACATTTGTGATGCACTGTTTGGAACCTTTAGTGTTATAATAAATATTACTGAAGTCCTATCCCAACACCAAACCGTTACTTTTAATACCTCGACTCGTGTTGCGATCACCAAGTCACCATCTTCAAGAGGAAGATTAATCTTTCTCTTTCTCTTTCTCTTCTTCTTCCTAGTGAATAAATAATTTTTCAAAATAAAATCTCGAAAAATATTCATCACTCCCAACTACCTACACCGTAGGTTTTGGAAAACAACTACTTGCCCGGCTAATTCCACGCTGGATATTGAATTCCGACATATATTTATGCAAGATACCTCAAAGAAGTTATTCTCACATATGTTTCTCGTTCATCCAGCAGCAGAACTATGCTGAAATTATTACCTACAGACCAGTTACGAGGTGTTACCCCTCATCAGTTCAGGAAAAATCCGACCCAAACAGCAATGGGTCTGGGACTCGATTAATTTCAACGCGGCTCCCATATACAATAGTGTATTCATTGTAAAACGAGCAACCTTGAATAACTTTGGTACAATGATCTGCAGGAAAAAAAAAAAGTCAACAGTAGTCTACAGGGGAATGTTACTTCCTCTATTGCACCCCCAGAGCATATCACCAATTTTTTTAAATGGATCACCCTATATTGTTTCGTATTATCAGATGCTCTATAATGAGCAGATTTCAAAAAAGTATAAAACATATGGTCTGAAGCTTATGATTCGTGAATGACCTTCTGTACAATCTGTTTCATAGGTGTTTTTGTGAAGTATACTTCAAAAAAGAGTTGTCAACGATGAAGCTATTTGTACTGTAGTTTTAGGGCACGTTGGACTAATGGAAAATTCTCAATCTCTTACTAAGTTATCTCGAGAACCAGGAATCAGGATACTTCATAAGTACAAATGTCATCCATATAAGATTAGACCAGTTCATGAATTGAACGAAGATGATTTCGATAGATGTATCGAGTTATTTGCAAGTCTCACTGAACGGATCAACTTGCATCAGAATTTCTTGAATAAAATTTGTTTTTCGAATGAATATACGTTTAGTTTGAATGAAGAGGTAAATCGGCAAAATTGTCGATATTGGAGTGATACGAATCCTCATTTATACCCAACGACCTCAAAAACTGAATGTTCGGGCAGGAATTTTAGGTGAACATAGGACCTTTGGTTATCGGTGATAATTTGACTAGTGATAAATATTTGGATATGTTGGAGAATCGAATAATACCGTGCATCAATAGAGCAATTGAGGAGGATATAAATTCAGTCAAAAACGAAATAGTTTTTCACCAGAATGGTGCACCTCCTCTTTATACAGCTCCACTGCGACAATTTTTGGATGATCATTTTCCTGTTCGCTGGATTTTCAGAAGAGGTCCTACAGAATGGCCACCAAGGTTTCCGGATCTCACTCCTGTAGATTCCTTTCTATTGGGTCATTTGAAGTGTGAAGTGTATGATTTAGAATCAACAAAATTAGAAGATTTGAAAACGAATATCATGAGGCATTGCAGAGAAATAACTTTTGTTTGAAGGTGGTTGACAATGTTTCGTGGTGTATTTCATCAGTTCGGACTTCCATTGTCTAATATAATATAAATTGATTTGATAACCCTGAAAAAAAAATCAAAGAATTAACTAAAAACTAACAATTTTATTAAACAAAAAACTGAAATTACAAAGAAATAACATACAATAACCTCCACACAAATAAAATAGAAATAATAATAAAAGCTGGAAAAATTGAAAAAATTAAAAATATTATTAACAAAAAATGAAAAAATAAAAATTGAAAGATTTCAAACCAAGTTATGTCACAACGTTTCGATTGTTAGTATCCACAATCGTCTTCGGGTGACAACTGGGCTTATTCCTCGAGATCTGACTATTTATAGGTCATTCGAGTGCTTTCGCCTATCCCTTCTTTCCTCTTTCCGCTTCATTGGTTTTGGCGGGAGTTGGTCGTTTCTCGCTTGATTAGCGTTTTCCATATGTTATGTCTCTACGCTAGCTTGACTAAATGCGTTGTTGGACAACATATACGCGGCTTCTTTGAATTTTCTCCTAAACCAGTGTTCCTCTTTGTGGATGGTTTCAACTTGAGCCCACTTGATGTTGTGTTGATGAGTCCAAACATGCTCTGCTATTCCGGATTTGCTGGTTTCTCCTCGCTGTGTGTGTTTTTTGTACTGAGCAGTGCGAACTTTCAATGGCCTCTTAGTTTCACCGATGTACGATTCTCCGCAGTCGCAGGGTATCCGGTAAATGCAATTCTTGGAATCGCAGTCTGCATTTGGTGGCCTGATTTTCGTGAGGCTGCTACTGTATTACAGAGCCCAAAAGCACGGTCCAGTAGAGTCTTGATGATTCCTCTCTTAGTTGATTGATGGTGATACTGTGATACAGATACTGTTCTGTGTGAGTGGGTTTTCGGTATACAGATGTTTCCCATCTGTCCTCTTTGTAATTTCAGAGAAATAACTCCCGAGATTCTCAACTATGTGGTGGCAGCAATGAAAGCTCATTTGTACCATTGTATGGAAGTTGTTGGAAAAGTTTTTGAACATTTACTATAGAAAATTGTTTTCTTCTCATTGTCCACTCATCAGATTTTCATTCAAGAATTAATCATTGTGTCAAAAGTTATTCAGGGTGGCTCGTTTTCTACTCAAATAATGTGTAGCTCCCGAATTATAAGCTTCAAACCATATGTTTCATATTTTGTTGAAATCTGCTCATCATGGAACATCATATGATGCTAAACAATATAGAGTGATCCGTTTAAAAAAAATTGGTGACATGTTCTGGAGGTGCGATAGGGGAAGTAACATCAAATATGAATATGTCAAAATGTGTCCCCATGTATACTACTGTTGACGTGCTTTTTCATTTTTCCTGAAAATCATTGTACCAAAAGGCTTGTTGTTGAATGTAATTCACTGTATAGGTCTTTGTTCAAAGTGGTGTTTTGATATAATATTTATTTTTTTGATTATTGCTAAGATTGTTTGAATGGAGCGGAAGTACAAACTCGTGCTCATATAGTCTCAATAGTATCTATTGGGTACTCATCTGTCTGTCTGTATATACTCGGGCATTTTGGTTTTTTACATCTCCTGTTTGATTTACAGAATGCAACGGTGGGCAGTGCTTTGATCCAAATCGAAGCGAAAGACGAGGACTCTGGTTTAAATGGAGCAGTTAGATATCGTCTGAAGGCAGATCCTGGTGGACACTGGAAGTTTTTCGAACTGCAACCAGTGTCGGGAATTCTGGAGCTACGTTTGCCGCTGGACAGGAAGAAACAAAAAATATATGACGTAAATATTTTGTATCAATAACTTCGGATTGTAATTTTGTATATAAACAGGGTTATTTAAATTCGTGTCTATGCATAGGGATATCGCAAAGATGATAGATAGAGTAGAGAGCAATTATGACAAAGTTGATAATATTTTCATAAAACTTTCACATAGAATGTCGTTCGACATGGGTCACCCTCAAATTTCAAATATGGACCTGTATCTTTGTAGCAATTTTTTGTTGGGTAATGTTCATAACACTTGGTGGAATTGAATTTTTTCCATATTTTCGAGAGTTTCGGTTATCTGTCTATCATCAAATGAATTATTATTTATTTATTACGACCCTGATAATCGTAAAAGTTTAAAAGATTAATGTCTTTTTATGTATCGCCGTAAATTCTTAAAAAAATTATTTTTTTCCATATTTTCGAGAGTTTCGGTTATCTGTCTATCATCAAATGAATTATTATTTATTTATTACGGCCCTGATAATCGTAAAAGTTTAAAAGATTAATGTCTTTTTATGTATCGCCGTAAATTCTTAAAAAATTATTTCAACTCTTTATTTCCCGAGACGTCGTACAAAGTTCAGAATATAAAGATAAACTTGAAATTTTTTCTACAGAATGCGTATCAGTATTTAAGAAAAATTAACTGATGTTGACTTTCTTTCTTTTCCAATTTGTAGCTTTTTGTTTTAACAATATATTCGATAATGAGAATTTTTGATACTGAATATCACCGAAAATATAAATTGTAATAAGTATTCTGATACCTGAGACTCCAAAAATGATACTCTAATAACTATCCATTTGAACATTTAGATGGTCTAGTCCAGGGGTCGGAAGTAGTTTTAGGTAGGGTCCGGATACTGTGGGAAAATTTCAACGAGGTCCAGAAAAAAACAACTGATAATAATTGTATCATGTATTATTTTACTTTCAAATCAAATTCTGAATTATAAAAACACAAGGCCTAAAATTAATGTCAGAAACTACACCGAAGGTCTTGAGCCAGTTTTTTATAGTTCGAAGCGTGTCTTCGAGGTGGGTGTTTCGTTTTTCAAAAAATTCATCTTTGGAGAAAGATGTTTTACATACGTATGTCGAGCAAAACATAGTATTTCTTGCAATTTTCATATTTTTCTGGGACATGTTTGGTCCAAAATTCTTCAGTGGATACCGTTTTATGTGCAAAGACAAAGACTTCTTGCAAATCATTTATCTCTATTTGAAGTGATGGCTTTGATAGATTAAACAACTTGGCGGCCATACCTGTCCATTTTGACGTTACATCGACTTCAAATGGCGAAAGTTTTCTTCAGAGTTCTTTTTATATTGAAGAATTGTCGGAAAATGAGTAAATTCTTGTCTAACGATATCGTTTGTCCAGCTTGCGACAAAAAGCAGACATGCTTCGTATCAAATCACATAATAATTTTATATTTTCTTGTATCTCTTCAGTTTAAAGGTATTGTTTCAATTAATGAAGGGATCGTATACCTCATCTACGTATCAATTTGTATTTGGTATACAATATATCACAAAATCTAGCGGTCCGAGGTTCAACCTTTCGCGGTCCGCCTGTTGCTGACCGTTGGCTAGTCGCTTATAACGTTTGTCAGTACTAAAACTGGTTCCGAAATCTAGCAAAAGCGTAATATTTTCCTATAGTTTGGCGCAACTAGACTATTATACGCAATATGTAATCATAATTATCCTTTCATGAGTGAGTAAGGTTATACTTGCCACATGAGCATGAGTAATCACTACAATTTTTATCATCTGAGTAAGGAGAAAAAATAATATTAAAAATGCACTCAGCTATTATTATCAAATTTCTAACTACCATTATGTTTCATAAAAGTAAATAGGGGTAAAAAATGTATTCACTGCCAATAAAATCATTGTCGCAATTCACAAATAATGAAAAAATATTCAAGGGTTATAAGCCAAGTTTATTTTGTTAAGATGAGTGCAAATCTATAATTTTTTAAAGTTTACTAAGCAAATGACTTAGGTGTATAATAATTTGATGAAATCCAGAGAACCCAGGACAAGGTATTTTACGTTAAAAAATTCCTCGAAAGCATTTGCTTGAAAGCAAAATTCTTCAAATTATTCTTGAGCAAAATTTTTAAAATTATTCTTTGGCGAAATTTTAAAAATGTTGCTGTTAGGCAGATGCTTTCGTAAAATGATTTAAGAAAACATACCTCGACCTAGAGTCTCGGGATTTCATCAAATTATTATTCACCCAAGTCAAATTTTAAGAGTTACGTGAAATCTGATGATGGCTATTATTGAAACGTAGGTTCTATTTTTTTCAGATACGCATAGAAGCTTATGATCTAGGTGTTCCAACAGCATTAAGTTCAGATTTAGATTTGACTGTATACGTGAGCGATATGAACGATTACCAACCCCAATTCATGGTTGACGAGTTTTTTGTGAATTTTACAGGTAACGAAATATCTGTTTACAAAAATGTTCATCGAAATCAATCTTGTTAATTGTTGCAGAAAATCGTGCTCCTGAAATTGAAATGGTTAAACTACCAGACACCATCGACAGGGATGAATTCGAATATGATGGGCCCGTTGGACCCATTTGCTATTATATCATTGGTGGAAACGAAAATAACCTATTCCATCTCAACCCTATCGATCATACACTGGTGGTACGTAAATATTATCAAGTTCAGAAACAGAAAATAAAAGGGTATATCGCTAAATAAAACTCTCTTTTTGAAAAATCATCAATAAACAACTACGACGAGCAGAGGATAATAATTAAAAGAGAAATGAAACTTTTTATGTTTTTTACCACTTTATTGTATAAGTTTGAAAATGTCCGTATAGGACGAAACTGCAGTAACGTTAGTTACACATTAAAGTGGTAAAAAACATAGAAAGTTTCATTTCCCCTTTCTTCATTATAATTTCCTACATCCGTCAATTTATTCAGAGGATAATACAAAAATGAATACCACGTGTGGTTAGAAAATAACGGGATTAGTTTTCTGTGAAATAAACGAAGCCTCAAAGTAAAACCACAGTACAATAATATAATTAGTAGGCTCTCTTACCACGTGATCCGCCCGAGTTGCCGGGGACCTTCAACCGCTCTTAGGATGAGATTCTCATCCAACCTGTTCAGTGCTGTAGTATCGAAGGATTTGACGGACATGGAATTAGTTATAATAAACGGTCGGAAATTGATATTGTGTTTGCTTTATTCGCTGTTATTATGGTTTTTAGTTTGTGTAGTTGGTTATAAGTAATTTACCACAAAATATTCTATACTAACCTTAAATTTCTATTTTATATGAGCGCACGCCTATGATAAAAGAACCAAATTGGCTCCACACTTCGTTTCGAGGTCACCGAGAACTTTGTGAATTTATGAATAAAAGTGGGAGAGGACTTACTGATTGATTATTACACGCTTTATATCAACTTCACCTGTATATATGTATGTTTGTTTGCTTGTAACTCCCAAGCTCGAGATCTGTATTGACAGAACTATCGACATTACTATTGCTTGATCTATTCGCGGGCAGATGGCGCTGTACATAACCTACTTGCTAGGTTGTTCAAAAGAAAATCAAGATAAAAAATGGATTTTAAAAATAAGTGTTAGCGAAATTTCGTACTACAGATGAAATATTTAAATATTAGAGAACTCACATGATTTTCACTTAATACTGATGCCACCATACATAAGAATGCAACCCACCCGTATATTGGACTTGTTTACTCTTACGATTGTTCAAAATAATGTGTTGGCGAAGTCACAGATATTTTAATCTGTGGCAAAGTCCTTCACGTCGGAATATTTCGATCAATCTTCACATTTGTATCTTTCTTTTCATGTTATTGCCATCGATGAGAAAAATTGAATCCATTCTTTTCGGAGAATAGGTTAGGTTAGGAGGTTAGGTTGGTTTAAATTTTATTTTTGTTAAGGAAATTTTCGAAAAATGTACGCCAAAATTACATGCCTCATAAAGTAATAGTTTCCACTTTTCTCATTGGTGGAAATATTAGCATGTCAAGAGAGATGACGCTATGAAATTTGATAAAAACATTCCAATAGCAGCCAAATATTATGAAAAAACACAATAGTAAACTAACTTTCGAAAGGGGTGGATTCAACGTTTCTCATTGGTGACAAAAAAACATAAAAAGAAAGATACAGACATGAAGTTGGATCGAAATATCCCGATGGGAAGGCTTCGGTCAGCATTTCTTTCAACAAGAGTAAATTACGACCGTATAAAAGGTAGAGTGCATGTTTATGTTTGGTTGCATCAGTAGGTATCTAGTAAAATTCATGTACAATAATGAATATGAACGTGTTATTCAAATTGTTATGAGATCCTTTTCTGGTTAGCAAATTATTCACACTCAGCATTTTCTGTTCTGTACATACTTTTTCTTCTTCCAACTTTTCTCATTGGTGGAAATATTAGCATGTCAAGAGAGATGACGCTATGAAATTTGATAAAAACATTCCAATAGCAGCCAAATATTATGAAAAAAGACAATAGTAAACTAACTTTCGAAAGGGGTGGATTCAACGTTTCTCATTGGTGGCAAAAAACATAAAAAGAAAGATACTGACATGAAGTTGGATCGAAATATCCTGATGGGAAGGCTTCGGTCAGCATTTCTTTCAACAAGAGTAAATTACGCCCGTATAAAAGGTAGAGTGCATGTTTATGTTTGGTGGCATCAGTAGGTATCTAGTAAAATTCATGTACAATAATGAATACGAACGTGTTATTCAAATTGTTATGAGATCCTTTTCTGGTTAGCAAATTATTCACACTCAGCATTTTCTGTTCTGTACATACTTTTTCTTCTTCCACAAGTAATCATGTCAACATTATTCATAATAGAACACTTATGAAAACACTTCATAACTGCCATAAAAAATCAAAGGAAAAAATTATATATCACATCGTAACACTACAGTTGGCATAACAATTTTGGTTGACGTGTGGGTTGTTTCCAAAGCACTCTTGCTAAAACCAGAAACTAAATACCTACTCGCTTTTGTACGGCATCGTGTTTTATGCGTTTTTTGTGTGGATAGATGTTAATAGAATAGTTGATACTGAAGCAATATTGATTAATTTACTTACCGTATATGTGCTTGGACATATGGTTTCCCTATTGAAGATTAAATCACTGCAGGAACATATCATGAACTTTTTTCCATTATGAAATGAGTACTTGGTAAAAATCGATGATGAAGTATTTTAATAACCCTATTTTCACTACACAGTTAAAAAAACGTAACACTGTTTCATTACAGAACAATAGTTTTCTCAAGCATATACTGAAACATAAAAAAAAAATTACTCAAAAAGTCAGGACGACCCGACTGACCGAACTGTTTTTCTTGGTTTTTGCATCTTCCTATGATATCAATTCAAATAGTGGTTTCATGTTTATTGTAAACATGAAACATGTAAACAATATAAATTCTGAGTCAGACTGGAGTTCAAACAGTTTCGACATAGAAAATTGTGAAGTGAATGATTTTGGAGTTCCACAAGGTAGTGTATTAGGACCTTTACTATTTCTGATTTATATAAACGATATCACGATACACTTATGAGTGTATCGTGAAACGATATAAATTACGTAGATGGTGATCATGTGATTAACTTATTTACAGATGATACATTAATATATACCTAACGATAAAACCTTGCAAGTCGCTATTGAAAAGATGAATAATTCATTGAAAAATATTGAGTTGTACCTTGGAATAAATGAATTGAAACTTAATATCACTAAAACTAAGGTGATCATTACAACAAAATATAAACAAAATAAAATTGGGAGAAACACAGTCAAAATTAAAATTAACGAAACTGATGTAGAAATGGTGAGTAAAATTAAGTATCTAGGGTTCATTGTAGATAATACAATTTCATTGAATGATCATGCTGACTATGTAATAAGCAAAATATCAAAGAAACTGTATTTTTTTTNATGAAGGTAATTCTGTTTTAATTTTAGGTTGCAGCCCCTCTAGACAGAGAACAACAAGATACCCATCTACTCCTGATAAAAGCCACCGAAGAATGTAACAAACCCCCGAAAAACGAAAGTTTCTTCGATGCCGACGACGACACCCAACTAAAAGTCATCGTCAGAGTGCTCGACGTCAACGACAATGCCCCCAAATTCGTCCACAGGGTGTTTACCGGAGGCGTGAGTACCGCTACCAGTTTCGGAACGAAATTTATGCAAGTCAGAGCCGAGGATGCAGATATCGGACGAAACGCTCTAATATCGTATTATATCATCGGGAGGATCCAAATGACGTTGACGGAGGGATTGGACAATTTAGAGCGACCTCCCTTTCTGGTGGAACGGGAAACTGGTGCTGTACGACTGAATTTTGACCCTCAGAGAGAGATGAAAGGATATTTTGATTTTGCGGTATATGAGTTTTTTATATTCAACACACTATACCGGGTGACAATGAAATCATTGTGATCGGCATCGTTCAGTTGTTTCTGGGGTAGGGGATTTTAAATTCAGAAAGATAACGATAACGAAAAAACAACTGAATACCCTATTTCGGTTCAATCTTTCAGAATTTCAAAATTCCCACCCTAGAAACAACTGAATGGAGTTTTGTTTAATGAATTCGTTGTCACGTGTTGTCGAGAGAATGGTATCGATTTTTCAATGATACCTCATTCGATATTTCAATTCTTTACACAACACTAGTTTATTTTTCGAAAGCAAATCGCTGAGTTGATATATTGACAAGTTAATAAAAACTCATAATGTGTCTTTATAGAAAGCCACAATATAGTATAAAGAATGCAGAGAACCCAAATGAATTCACTTGGGACCATTGAAATTCAATTATAAATAAAATTTGGTAAATATGGAAATCCAACAGTTCGCAGATTACTCAAAAATATTCAAATTTTTCAAGAGCTGTAGTAACCTTCATTCACTTAGTAAATTGAAATTACATACTAACAAGGAGACAAAAACCATTAAAGCGCTGAACAGCATATTGGACACAATACGGTTGTATTTATCAAATATTCATGTAATCCATTCATACGATGTTGAAAAGTTTTAAGAACTTGAAGTAACCTTGAAGTAACACCTTCCAGTTCTGATGTAGACGTTTTCAGTCCGGGACGGAGATATCAACCTGCCTAGGAACCTATGCGACTGTATTTCAAGCGGAAATTTACGATATTGAATTATACACAAGTCAATAAAAATATTCTCGGGCAGTCAAGCGGCGTTGGAAGCTCTTGGCTCCTACCGAGCTACGTCTAAATTGGTAGCAAATTTCCAAAAACGACTCTCCTCGATAGGAAGACGTAACAGATTGTCTTTGGCCTGGATTCCTAGCCATACTGGCAATGAGGCTGCTGACTCCCTTATAAAGGAGGGTGCTGCAAGCAGCTTCATCGGACCAGAACCTGTCCAGGATTGGCTCACTCCAAGGCGTTTATTCACCCTTCGAAAATTGATACCAAACAATTGTTGGGCAACAGTAGGAATGAACTACGATGTCTTACAGGCCTTCTTACAGATCACTGTAATTTGAATCATTATATGCAGAGACTATGACTGTCGGAAGACAGTGTGTGTCGCCTCTGTTTGGTAAATGATTAAACAGCAGAGCACATATTTTCTGCCTGCCCCGCTGGCCACCGAATCAGGTTTTTAGAGATCGGCAGAGCCGTACTCTTGCCATCTGACCTGAAAGACCACTCACCATACAAACTAATCGGCTTCGTTAAGAAGCTGGATTTATTTGGTCGAGTGTGAATAAGTGTGAGCCACAATAAACCTTTGCGGGTTGCGGTGGAGGGTCGAATAGACCCACTCACTTTGGACCTAACCTAACCTAGATTTTCAAATTGTCGTTCACTCTCTTGTGAATCAAGTCAATCAAAAGTTACATTATCAAGACATAATATAAATTGTAATTACAAAAAGAAATTAAAAGTGTTAAAATTGGATTGATAAATGCTGGATTTGAAATTACATATAGAAATGTTTTCATTTTTCAAGGTTAACAATTGTTACTCCTCATTTTTTTTTCATTCGTATAAATACATGTTTTTTTTTAGATTTTGGCAAATGATACTGGAGGTTTGCAAGATACAGCAAGGGTTTTCATATATCTCTTGAGAGAAGATCAACGAGTGCGGTTTGTTTTGAGACAGAACCCCCCAGAACTCAGGAACAAAATTGAGGCATTCAGAGAGTACGTCTCTTCTGAAACATCGATTTCAAATATTTATATTATAATTTTCTAGGATCTTGGGAAATGTGACCGGAGCTATAGTGAATGTAGACGAGTTTAGAGTTCATGCAAATCACGACGGTACCGTTGATAAAACTCGAACAGATCTGTATCTCCATCTTGTGGATCGGAACGATAACTCCATCTTGGAAGTGGACGAGGTTTTACGACTGGTTGATCAAAATACTGAAAAACTGGATGACCTCTTCAAAGTAATATCTACTGATACCAATGCAAATGACTAACAACTCATTTTTTCCTTTTTTTGCAGGAATTCAATGTACTTGATACGCAACCTGGAGGAACTCTGGCTCTGAAATCGCAGTTGCAGAACGCTAGTACTACGTTTTGGCTTTCTGTGTCGTGTCTATTTTTGATTTTACTGCTACTGCTTTGTTTAGCCCTTTGTGTTAATCAAAGGCAAACATATCACAGAAAACTAAAAGCAGCCACAGCCACAGCTTACGGTGAGTCGCGAAACATACTTGGACCTCTAAGAGAAATCAAATAATTATAGAAACAAATTTACTTATCAAAAACCTCGTTTGTAATATGTGTGTGACAATCGTCTTAAATATCTAAATTCAATTCTATAGATTTTGTGGCAATTTTTCATTTACAAACATATATAATACTTATGATTCACTGTTTGGAACCTTTGGTGTAGTAATGAATATTACTGGAGTTTTTTCCCAACACCAAATCGTTATTTTTAACACCTCGACACGTGTTTCGATCACCAAGTGATCGAAGTAAAACTTTTTTTATCTTCCTCTTTGAAGATGATCACTTCGTGATCGAAACACGTGTCGAGGTGTTAAAAATAACGATTTGGTGTTGGGAAAAAAACTCCAGTAATAAACATATAATAGCCTACGATAATTGCATTATCATCATTATCATGCCTCAGTATTATTCCTTTTTTATAAACGAAACGATAGTTCACTGTGTTTCAAATGAATGTTAGTGAAGTTTCAAGAGTGTATGGATTTACAGTTCGCAATCACCCTCTACATAGCTTATGTAAGGTCAAAATTAGAATATCGTTCTGGTGCGACTTCTCTGTTCTACAATTGCTACACTACATCATTTAAAAAAGTTCATTGTCGTTTTCTGACGTTCATCCACTCTGAAACTTATGATATCTATACGTATAGAGGTAATCCACTTTTTATTGTCAACTGGCCAGGGCCAGTTTGTACCTCAGGTATCTCAATATTTGCTGTCTGTTTAAAAAATATTATGAATTTTCATTTTTCTCATTTTTTTTTATTTATTGTTCAATATCTATTTTGTCCTGAAAGCAGTAGTGATATGCACTTTTTGGCAAAATACTGACATTTCTTGGGTCTCTTCAATCTTGGGAACAGGAAAAAGTCGCAGGGGGCAAATCTGGTGAATACGGTGGCTGAGGCATGATCATGGTGTTGTTTTTTGCCAAAAAAATACGAACCAGCAATGACGAGGAAGCAAGTGCATTATCGTGGTGCAAAAGTTGGATTGTTTTTTCACAATACCGGACGTTTTCGTCGTATTACTTCTCGCAAGCGACACATTACTTCAAGATAATACGCGTTATTGACCGTACGACCATGTGGCAAGAACCCTTGATGCACAACGCCATGGTAATTGTAGAAAACAGTGACCAAAACCTTGACATTTGATCGAATTGGCGCCTTACTTTTATCTTGGCTCTCCTATGTTCTTCTATTGGGATGATTGGACTTTGGTTTTGATGTCATAACCTGTACCCATGATTCGTCACCATTTATGACCCCCTCAAGCAAATATGGATTGCGGACGATGTCATTCAACAATTCCTGAGCTTCACTTTCTCAATAGTCTAATCGGTTGTTGATGTACTGGGGCGTCCAGGGCGACATCTACTGGACCTTCTGTGAAAAGCTTGTACCACTTATAAACATTTTTCTGACTCAGAGTACAATCACCTTATGCCACTGTCAACATTTCAAGTGTTTTTGAGCACTTGAATTCCATTTTTTATACAAAATTCGATGCCAATTCTTTGATCAGTCTTTTTCAATAGCAGAAAATCGTTGAATAGTTCTCTTTCATGCATATCACTAACAACCTAAACATGCCAAACAGCTGAAACTGTGAAATATGAACATTCACCTCATTTCTTTAACAGTCCACATATTGTAGAAAACTGCATCACCAAGAATAGTTAGATTTTGTTTCGTTTTTAGTGTATTTGAAGCACCTCAACCTACTTAGTTAACCCTGTATATGGTTTTTGACCGTTGGGTAATGAATAAAAAAGCAAGTTATTAGGGATTTGATAACCTGCAGTCCAATTCAAAAAAATATGGCAAACGATGAGGACTTTACACCAACTTATAAAGAAACTACCATTGTTAAATTCATCTATTTGTAATCAAATTCAAATCTATTTTAGTTGGTGCAGATTCAGAAATTGATGGAAGAGGTTTGGGTATTTTAAGTGGTCGAGTACCAAACACCAACAAGCACAGTTTGGAGGGCAGCAACCCGATTTGGTTGAAGGCATATGAAAACGAATGGTTCAAGAATGTAGACGATATAAGGTTTGCAAAAATTACATTTTTCTATAGACCATTTCTAAAAGTATCAATTATTTCAGTCAATCGGAGCACGACTCTTTGGATGAAAACGTCGTTTGTTGTGAAGACTCCTTGCCTCCTGTAGAACAAATTCAAGAACAAAATCCTCAACAAGGAAGACCTCAAAACGTCTACCAAACTTTACCAATTCCACCTGTACCTCTGGCAAGAAAATTGGAGACTACAGAGTTATGATTCAAATTCAAGATCAACAATTACTTCAACAGCGTCAGAGTTAGTCCTCTTTCGGACATATATGAAGAATCTGAGTGAAGGTATCTCGATAAATGTTTCAGTTATGAAACTATACAAACCAGTGCAACGATTAACTAAGTTTTATATTTTTATATATTTTCACTGTAAATATACCGAATCAATAAATTTCATAGATGAAGTCCAAATTTTTTTTTATAGTTGAGAATCATTTTCTATTACTAGAAGACACTACAAATATATGAAAGAACATATCCATATATGTGAGGGTATTAATGTCAAATTTTTTGCTCTCAACAGCCATAAAAATGAGTTCATAAATTAATTGCTGAAATTCAACATCACGTCAAAGTTCCCAAGCACATAAACTCTTCACCAATATTTTAGATAACATAAAAATATGTGATATGTATGCCTGTTAATTTTTGAAATGCATGTAATAATAAATAACTCACAACGAATAATTCCAGTGGCGTGCTGACTTTATCGACGTAAAAAAATGTCTTAATAATATTAAGGTTTTCCAAGTATTGAATACTATTTTTATTTACCTTCAGGAATAGTTTCATATACACATGAATAAATATCATAAATTTCAACAAGTTTCAACCATATCATTTTCAAGATGATCAGTCGTTCAATGTGTGAGGTGTTGACATGCATCATCTTTCAAAACCTATTTAATAAAGGATTTAAAAGAATGAACATAAACATTCTTATAAAAAATTAAATTGTGATACATGGCATGACCACAGTAGAATAATACAACCAGTAGGCTATCTTACCACGTGATCCACCCGAGTTGCCGGGACCTTCAACCGCTCTTAGAATGAGATTCTCATCCAACGCGTAAAGTGCTGTGGTATCGAAGGATTTGACGGTCCCACGGACATCGGATTAGTTATAATAAACGGTCAGAAATTGATATTGTGTTTGTTTATTCGCTGTTATCATTGTTTTTAGTTTTTGAAGTTGGTTATAAGAAATTTACCACAAAATATTCTATAATAACCTCAATTTCGGTTTTTTTATGAGCGCACGCCTATGGTAAAAGAATGAAATTGGCTCCTCACTTCATTTCGAGGTCACTGAAAACTTTGTGAATTTATGAATGAAAGTAGTACTTAGTGGACTTACTGGTTGATTTTTACTATGGCATGACAATGTTTATAATGTTACAGTATGATATGGCGAGATCTGACCTAATATTAAGATATTAATTATAGAAGTGAATGAAGTAAATTAATAGTAAAAAGCATTCTCAAGAACAAACTTTTATTCACATGCTTTGAAAGGAGAAACTAATTTTTCCAACCACAACCAAACTATCCCCAACGTTCACAAAGTTATAACTCTTTAAAATTGGTATCGTGGTAATCTTGTTTGCAGCCTAAATTTTTTGGCCTTGAACCATTCATTTGACATTCTTATCATAGTAGTGCATAAAAAAAGTTCAAAAAATGTACCCCCATCTTAAGCTGTCCTTCAAGTGGATTCAGAATGACATCGTTATTTTTAGTTTTATTTTCAGTGAACCCATTCATTTGCTACCAATATCAAGGGAGTGCATAAAATATAATCAACAGGTCATCTTGGGCGTGCCACAGCAGATACTATTGGATTTTGTCTCCTATTGTAATCAATAGATGATGAACGTGGTTTTGTTTCAATTGATTGGAATTAATGACCTTATTTGTGTGCAATCAAGGATAGGTAGCCAGATTTTATTTATATTAATTCCCTCTTCATCTCTATGGCCTTCCTATATACTCTTGGATAACAATTCCAAGTTTTATCAAGAACTATTTCCTTTGAAGAAGCACAAATATTTTACAGAACTCAAAATTACCATCCAAGAGTATACAGAAAGACAATAGATATTTAACACAGAGAAAATTTCAATTGAAAAGAAGAGGGTTTACATGAATAAAATTTGGCTACCTGTCTTTAATTGCACACAAGGTTATTTGACCTAATCAATAAAAACAAAACCATCTGGTTACCTGTCCTCCATTACACAGAATCTAATCAATAAAAAGAAAACCAGGTCATCACTGATGAATAAAACAAGAGAATTAGAGACAAAGTCTACTAATAATGAATTAGCTATGAGAACCAAGCATTTGTTGTCTCATTGCCTTGATGATGTATACCACAGTAAAAGACGAAACGCTAGGCACAACAAGCTGCAGACTACGGCCAACAAACTGGAAAAATAGCTTTATTTTCAGCTGTGAAAGTTAACATTCTTTAGGCCCGTTACTGTTGAGCTTCTCCAGCAGTCTAACTTATTATTGTAGCTTTATATAAGGCTAATAAACTATTACACAATAACTCAAAAAATATTTCTCTATGTGGTGAATTTTCTATTTTCAACTGAACTTTGAAAAACACGTTATTTCTGATTTTGAAACTTTTGCTCAAATTCAGTTCACTCACCAATAATTCAATTATATAATATAATAAAAGAAGAATAAAAATTGTGTCAGCCACTAAATTAAAAATACATCATGATACAAGTGGATCGATCTCTAGTGAAACTATAAAAAGTTATGGAAGGTGAAATGAAATTTCACTGTTACAGTAACAATTCTCTTTAATGATCTCCATTAACAATTTGACATTACAGGAAGAGAAACTGAAGGAAAAAGAATAAAATATAAACTCGAGTGTCCCCTAAAGAATTCATTTCACACATCTGTTCGTTAACATAAAATATCAAAATCCCATACCACTGTGAACAGTTCGAGGTTCCTGAGAATGAAAATGCAATTTTCCATAGCAAAAGTTCAATTAGGCAATGTAAAGCAACAATCAACAAATCCTGAGACCCACTCTAGGAACATTCTATTTAAATAGTGGTTGAAGACTCGAGACGAGGTATTAGGGAAGGATTAGGGTAAGAGAAAAGAGACACTTTGAGTAAGTTAGGTTAAAGACTAGCACTTAAATGACAGGTTAGTGTAGGACCACAGCAACAAAACATTAACAGAGCAAATGATTATCACAGGAAAAGAAATGAATAAATACTGCTTATTACACGATTAGTACTAATTGTAAGTCAAGATTCACAAGTATGAAATTTAGTAAAAATTGATATCAAAATATCAACATATAAAAACACGTTTGAGCACTACACTAGAAACAACCCATATGATGCCAAAAGAATCAAACCAAACACGCTTTATCACGTGGGGTAATTGATGACTCCACTGAATTGACACAGCTTTCAATAGCCAAAAATTCTCCTCGTATAGGCTTGAGATCAAAATTCTACTTGGCAAATGCACGATATAGAATCGTTTGTATTTTCAAAACTATAAATCTACGGAAAAAATAAAAAACTTTTTGAGGTTTCCAACATTACTGTTTATTGTTAACAATACGAGTTGCTGCTGAAAAGCTCAAGGAATTTCCACCTAAATATGTAAAGGTAACAAGTAAGTTTGCTTTTTTAAAAAAATCACTCAGGAAGGAATCACTCCAGATCAGTTTTTAAGTGTCACATATTTACAACCAAATTTGCGAAGTATTATGCAGTGAAACATTCGTGTTACGTTGCTCCATTCTAATCTACTCATATTTCAATCAGCCCGGTTCATATATAAATGAAAAATTTTGAAATCATGTTATACTGTAGTATTTACTAATAGTAACTTTAGTCATCATTAAAGCAATCTACAATGAAAACAATTTACAACTTATGCAATGTAGTTTGATTAACAAAATGTGCAAATGGCAGACGAAAGCAACCCCTAGGTTCAACAAAAAATTGATACACAATATCATCAAGGTACATCTGTATCTATACCTGTATGTTGCCGATATCATGGATTAATTTTTTTCACGGAGGAAAGAGTATTCTCACAAATGACATAAGACATGTTCGGCAATTGAGTTCGTGGATTGAATACTGTACCGTAATTTTCTAGCTGATAAGATTTCATTTGGAGAGCATGAATCTGTTTTCAATCGGCTTCTCTGTATATTTGTCATTAGCGTCATTTGTCATGTCAATTACTCAAAATATTATTATTAACTATTGAAAAAACTATCAAAAATGAATACAGCAAACAAAACTCAAAAACTGGCAATCGGGAAGTTCATCGTTCGACATCCACTGGATATATCGAACTAAGTCGGATGGTAAAACAAAAACAGTCCTGTCAGCTGTTTTCATATTTTGATGTGGTTTCTTGTGCTTTCCTTGAGTGAAAACAGTTCATATGAAAGCATTAAAAAACAGCTCACAAATTCACAATTAGTTAACTAATAACACAAAAAAAAAAACACCAAAACGATTAACATAACCTATGTTTAACATTCAGTTATTCCGATCATCTGTTAACTATTTGACTAGTGCCATCATTGGTGGAAATTCTTCCCTAAAACATCAAGTACATCCGACAACTGACAGAATAGCCAACACAAAAAAATACATGCGCCCCAAATAAAGTAGTTACCCAATATGGTCTATTGATGTGCTGCAATTGGCAGACCGGATTTCCAAGCTTTGATTCAGTCTGATGCCAATGTTAACAAGGTATTATGTGATTTCTGAAACTGATTCATATCCACATTTTTCAAAGTTGAAAACAGTAAAAAATGCGAAAATGAAACCGTACCACAAGGGACAATAACTTACAATGATACAGGAGTTGGAACCAATTCAAAAATAGAAAACCATTCTGCTATATAGCACAGCAATTAAACAACTCTGTCTGGTCAAAGCTTGTATATTACTACTGAATAAACCCAGTGCAGTTCTGGGCCAATCATCCACTTATACTGCTGCTTCTGTTTGTCATTTGTGCATCATAGGGTCAGACTACATTGCAAGAGTTGAACTGATTCAGGGTTCAACACTTCCGTAACATTGTACAGAAAAAATATATCTACATTATTAGAGTGCATTTGAGAAGTAATAATTCCATGGGATTGTAAGACAAGGGCATCCTATAATGTGGAAGACTCATCAAGTTTAACAAAAACTGGTTAAGCTGTCAAACAAAAAAATATCTGTAAAGCTCACTGAAATTACTAATTCCAATTGTTTCAATGATCCGTTACTAAATGAAGAGTAAAATGATCCTAATAATAATCAAAGTATAAAAACAAGTATACAGTACCAACCAATGCAAGAATGTAAAATAGATTTTGTACACGATGTTTTCACTGCCTCAAGGTAAAACAGCAAATGATGGTAAAGCTATAGAGTAAAGATAAAGTTGTCAAAAATAATTTCTTTGTGAAATAAATAAATCTTTTCCATTACAAATTTTTCATTTGAAATGTAACATTTGCAAAATTGTAGTTCAAGACACATGAAGCTTCACAAATGTTTCCATTCCCATCATCCACGCGTGACCACCACTTCCATTTGCAATTTTTCAGATGAACATTTATAAAATCTAATAAAAATCTATTCATTTATATCAAAATTTATGAGTGATTAAAGGAGAAATATCTTGAGAACAAAAAAAATAAACTAACTTGTATGTGAACTCTTGCTCCTATCTACCCGATATTTTTGACAGTTTGATGTTTAGTGTAAAACTTCTAAGGTGTTTGAATTCTTTTATACTACAGAATAGTTGTTTTCACAGCTGCAGGCATTTCACAAGTAAATTTTATATAATAATTATAAATTTTATCTCAAATTGGGAATGGTTGTCTAATGATCTGCAAGATGTAATTTATGATGAAGAAAAGAGAATTGAAACTTTCTATGGTTTTTACTACTTTTATTTGTAACTAACGTTACTGCGGTTTCGTCCTATGAGGACATTTTCAAACTGATACATTAATGTATACATGTAATGTATAAGTTTGAACATGTCCTTATAGGACGAAACTGCAGTAATGTTAGTTACTGCAGTTAGTTACACGTTTATTTGAAACTAACGTTACTGCAGTTTTCTGTCCTATAAGGACATTTTCAAACTTACACATTAATGTATACATTCAATGTATACGTTTGAAAATGTCCTTATTAAATGTATACATTAATGTATAGGTTTGAAAATGTCCTTATAGGCAGTAACGTTAGTTACTGCAGTTAGTTACACTTTTATTTGTACTAATGTGTAACTAACGTTACTGCAGTTTTCTGTTCTATAAGGACATTTTCAAACTTATACATTAATGTATACATTTAATGTATACGTTTGAAAATGTCCTCATAGGAGGAAACTGCAGTAACGTTAGTTACAAATAAAATTGGTACAAAACACAGAAAGTTTCAATTCTCTTTTCTTAGTATGATTTCCTACCACGTAGTAACGGCTACATCCATCAATTTATTGTAATTTATGAATTGCCCGAAATAGGAGTTGAAATATGGAATATAAAGTGTACTCTCAGAATAATAATGCACGAGTTTCTTACATTATATGAATACATTTTATTAAATTATATTCATCATTTGTTTGCAGATTCTTAAAACAAATTAAAAACTGTTAATTATTTAGAAATAGACGATACAATTTCCAAAAATGAAAGTGTTGTATAGAGAATTGATATAACTATCAACTGAAATCCCCCTTTACAATTAATTTAAAAAATATTGTAGCGCCCTCTCGGCGGCAGGTAATGCAACACTAATTCCGATCAAAAAAGTACTTGAAATTATACCTTTTCACATACATTTTGTCTGACTTCGATATATTGGACTGCTAAAGAGAAGGGGCTATTTATGTCCGAATATGTGAATTATATTCAACCTGTTAAACAAAACATCTTAACGACAACCCTGAAAATTATTCATACAGTGAAACTAAACATATCCTATATCGAATAAAAACGTTTCCTGACAAATTGCAAACGGAGCATGATGTTACTCGAAAACTCCGCACACAGTTAATGAACAGAGAAATTAAAGCGTGTATTCGTTTTTATGTAAGAATCTAGTCTGAATAATGATACATAAATACTACTTGCGATATATAAAATAACAGGTATGTAATTAATACAAAGTACGACCTGCGCGGCTGACGAGCTGTGACACTGTCCTTCAATTCAAACCATGTCCAGTAGTGGATTACCTGTCATGGTATACCTCGTTCTTCAATTGCTGAACATTCTTCTAATTCGTCTTGCTATTCACCAATCCGCAAAATTATCATACAACACAGCCAATAAGTACTTCGGAGTTACGAATAAAAAAAGAAATGACTATCAGTTTGGGAGACTGGCAGATAGAATGTAGAGCAACGGTACTGTGGATGAGTCATTGAAAAAAAACTAACCAAACGAAAAAAAAAACAATGGTTTGAAGTAAATAACCCGCAACTGTTCGTCCTCCGCCGTTGGCACTAACAAGTAACAGCTCTCGCATATATCTCAGCCTAGCGAATACACTGTACACGACCCACATACGCTTTTCTTACACACAAACTAGAGTGACGCGGCAACGTCCGTCACCCAGTCAGACGACGGGAGAAACATTGAGGTTAGCGGCGGTTGTAGGGGTTGGAGCCGCGGTTAGGTGGTCCGCCGTTGTTTCTGTTGTTGTAAGTGTTGTTCCTGTTGTTTTGGCCGGGGGGGCCACCTCCTCCGTTGCTGTTCCTGTTGGGGCCTCCGGGACCGCCCATTCCGCGTCTCGGCCCACCGTTGTCTCCCCTGCCCCTGTTATCCATCGGGCGACCGCCACCATAAGGGAGACGTTCCCTATCCTTCGTCTTCTTCTCTTCGACGTTCAATGGTGTTCCGTTCTTGTCATCTTTTGGATAGAAAATAGGCTGAAACAAAATTTATGTTCAACCGCAATTCCCGAGTTTCATAACCAGCAACAACCTTCTGTGGATACCTCAGGGACTGAACCTAAGACCAGTTTTGTTTTTACTTATGGATGACTCCAATGATTGGGTTATCAATTGCTTGTAAATTAAATCTACTTGTATACAACAAAGTTCTATTCTATGGATCAATGTCAACGTATTCAAATGATGTGAAGGTATAGAAAGTTGTTCAGGAATCTAACGAACAACAAAGTATGATTTCAATGTTACTTTTGTAAATTTCAGAGTAACAGTTCATGAACTTTTCTGTGAAGAGTATTGTGACTCCTGAATTCAATTTCTGAAAACAATAAATTTGTATAACTCACAGAAATATAATAAATTTAGAATACTAATAAGGTTCACTTGTATTGGCGGTTACAGGAGAAATCAACTAGCTTTGAGTTTGCTCAGATATGATAATATACTTTATTTTGCATGAAATGAATTATGGATACGAAGTTCTAATGAGTTTTTAAAAATTATTAGTTTTTTCAGATGAAAAGTAATGAAAATTCTGGTGTATCACAAAGAAAATTATTGGGGCAATGATTATTTATAAGTTATCTAAATAACCCCAAATACATACCAGGATTCCATAGGCTCAATTTGTTTGCTGATTACCCACTCATATATTCAACAAAGGAAATCCCAACAGTAAAAAATTATAAAATTGAAAAAAAAAGGGAAAAGAAATAGGAAAAGAAAAACAAAAGGGAACTAAAAACAAGAATATTGCAAAGTGTGAAAATGTATTCTACTTGGGTAATACTGCAAAAATAATGAAAATATTCAGCAGTGACCATTGTAGAAATTTTATATTGGCCTCACTTTGACCAAGTATGTCCACCAGAAGACATACCCAGCTTCGATAGAGCCATGACATTGAAAATGTTCGTTACAATAATAAAAATTCTTCAAGTCCCCCAAAATCTAGTCTTCTTACTAATGCTTCATCAATTCACCTTTTCAATATTAATGATTTGTCTATTCAGCTCAGGGTTATAGAGTTTGAAAATAACATCCGACTTTTTCCACAGTACTCATTGAAACATAAAAGAATTTTTGAACCGTTTTTGTATTATATGTTACACTCAGTCAATATATCTCATGGTATGAAGAGAAAAATCAAATTTCCACTATAAATCGGCCACTGGCAGTATTCGTTCTACAAGTTATCAAGACAAATTACTTTGAGAAACCATATTCTTTTTGTCCTTGAGATAATCGATGAGATTCACTATATCCCTTTATTTGACGTAACAAAAGTTTGGATCCAATTGATATAACGTAACACCTTCTGTATTGAACGTTATTTTCATATTTTCCTTTTCAATACACTCAAATCAATCAGTATATCAACACATTTTTATCATGTATAAGCAATTTTTCAGTAGTACACTCTATCAAATCAAATTATATCTTATTGTCGAAAATCTGCATCTCATCAACAAAGTCTGAGACTAAAGAAATGTAAAGACAAAAACAGAAGAAAGAAGGGTTGGATTGCATGCTCTCCAAAATTGTATTCTATATCATAGCCGAGAATTAATAAGTGCATGGTAAACAGTTTCCACGGTATGAAAACCTATATCATTAAAAACCAACCCTAACCCCAGGACATGTGGAGCAAATCTTACTTTTGAATTGTCTAAAAATTTGATCAAATCTCAGCCTTCTGAGATTTCATTTTTTTTTGCAATGAGCATTAACCACTTCCCACACCCTGAGATATGCATGCTCTAGTCCAAGAAACATCTGCTTTGAGTAAACATAAGTAAATACAACTTCTAGTAAAACATTGTCTGGGGAAATATTTCTTACCTTGGCTTGTAGACAACTCTGCACACCTTGCTGAGTCTCATACGTGATGAATCCGTAGTTTGGTGGGGCCCGTCCACCAGGCGCACCTCCGATCTTATTTGGCGGTTTGCTGTGCACTCTTAGATCCACAATGACTCCAAACTCGCTGAAAATGTCACGAAGCTCGTCTTCAGTCGCCATATGCGGTAAATTGCCCAAAAACAGCTGGTTAACATCGTTGAAGTTTTGACTTTGGGAACGACGTCTATCTTCTACAAAAATATGTCAATCAAATCAAGTCCACACGAAAATATTTGACTCAAATATGCTTCATAATATTAAAAATGCTCTATTGTCACAAACGTATACTTCTTAACGAGGCCTGAAATGTACACATTATTAAAAAAATACAAAGCACAGAATATTTTGAAATATCTCACTTTTCAAGTATTTCTCGATTGTAAGTTTGTTTGATTTTTTAAGTTCCTTTTAAGGAATATTTCTATGAATGAATGTGTATTTGTATAATTTTTCTACCTAGTTATAAATTTTATTCTGCTTTGTGTTTTGTAACTTGGTGTATGTATCTGTATTATATTTTATTTTTAAACTTTAGTGTAGGTGTACTGACAATTTCGAAACCTGTATGGGTCAAATGAGAATAAACATTATTATCATTATCATTAAAAAAGCAGACACTTTGAGAAAACTTATTACTATTATTATTATTTTCAAGATTTTGAATTGTGCTTTTCGGCTAAATGTGAAGGAGTACAAAATCGAAACACAATGATCAAAGTGTGGTTGTATACTTGTTTTATAAACATATCTATGGTATAACAATGTAAAGTTCAGTTTTTGCAGATTAAACCACCTCATTATATAGAAGAGCAACAATGTAAGCATACTGGAAGAACTAATGAAAAAAACTGTTTCCCAGTTTTAATTTGATAAAAATATATGTGATATGTGAAGCCCTACACTATTTTCAAGAGTTTTCTGTGATTTTCGTTAAGATTAGTTATTTTTCAATTAACCAAAATCTATCTGGAAAACTGTTTCATAAGAGTATAAACAAAAGCAGTTGTCAAAACAATGCAAAAGGTTGTTATTCTTGCAACAGATGCAATATATCCCACTTCTGAATAAGCACTTTTACCATAAATCAAAACAGTTCATGAACTATTTCAAGGATTCAGAATCTTTCAGAGTCAAAATGATATTTTCAAAAACTTACCATAAGGTCCTTCCTCATTGATGGAATTCCTTCCGCCGCCACCCATTGAGTTTCTTCCGGAGTCTTGTCTGTTCTGCATTCTTGGCTGTTGATTCGGTCTAGGACCTCCTCGATTGTTCATATTGTTGCCGTTGTTGTTAGAGCGAGGTCCTACATTCTGATAACCTCCGGAAGAGGGAGGAGACACTGATCTAGCGGCAGCTGGCTGTGCGACGGGCGCGGGTCCTGAAGGAGCCTGAGACGGAGGACTTCCAAAAGGTATGGTGCTGCCGGATTTCAGTAGATTGGCATAGGTCTTAGGCTCGTTAGAAGCTAAAAATTGAAAGTTAACTTCAAACTCCAAGTATATATATTGTGAAAAAATTGAATGGAACTGGCCCCTCCTTGATAAAATTTATATCGAAACTCACTCTTCAGTTTACTACTATGATTTTCACTATGAAATGAATATTTCCAAATAAAATTTTTAAATATTCATCTCTCCCAACTACCTACACGGTAGGTTTCGAGGTATTACCTCTTATCAGTGCAGGAAAGATCCGACCCAAACAGCAAAGGATCTGGGACTTGATTGATTTTAACGTGGCTCGACTGCATGTATGTATGAAACCTTCATCTAAGAGAAAGATTGTTAATGAGTAACAGCTCCATCTCGTGAATAAATCTCCAAGCCGGGAAAAAACATTCAAAGTGTTTCATAATTGAATAGAACTGGCCGATACTTGATGAAAATCCATATTTAAAAAACTAATCAATACAGTTTATTGTATGATTTTCACTATAAGGGTTTTACAAAAACCGCCACGTGTTTCACTATACAATAGCTTGTTCAAGCATGAACTATGTTTATGTTTGAAGAAGCTATTGTATAACGAAACACGTGTCGCGGTTTTTTTTTTCAAAGTGTTTCGCTATGCAATAGCTTCCTCAGACAGGACTGATAAATTATTTCTAAACTATAACCTTTCACACTCTAGAAACAATATTACTTAGAGTTTTTTCCAAACACCAAACCGTTATTTTAATACCTCAACACGTGTTTTGATCATCAAGTGATCACCTTCAAGAGGAAGAGTTTGATTTTCCTCTTGAAGATGATCACTTGGTGATCGAAACACGTGTCAAGGTGTTAAAATAACAGTTTCGTGTTGGGAAAAAACTCCAGTAATATTCATTACTACACCGAAGGTTCCAAACAGTGTATAACAATTTTCTTCTCCCGAGGATGCTAACTTTGTTGGTGAAACGCGCGTCGAGTGCAAAAATATCCGTTTGATGTTAGGGCAATTGATTTTGAAAAAAGTTATTCAACTTTCACACCAAAGGTTCCAATCTCATCGTTATTAGTGTATAACAAGTCTAGAAACATTAGCTATTGCCTACTTTCCAATAAAATGGTTAATTCTAGGCTACATTCAACTACCAGAAAAGTGCCAATTCCATAATTCACTAATGAAATTGTTGAATTTATTAATTTTCAAAAATAAATGAAAATCGTGTGCAATTAAATATTCGTCGCCCAGTATATGCAATTCAGTAAAACATTTTCCAAAGTCGTAATGCCTATTAAAATATTTACCAGACTCATTCACTGTCATATCTGGTTCCGGTACAATTTCCTGTTGCTCGACAACATAGGCACTCTCCAATGGCTCCTCGATCGGATCTTCAATGGCTTGGGGTTGCTGTAATTCTTCAATTGGAGCCGGTGGGTTCAAAGGAGGCTGGATCATTGACGGTTGCATAGTCGGCATGGGAGAAACGAGTCCTTGAGGCTGAACGGTGGGAACATGAGGCGGGACTTGTCCTGTTGTTAAAATTGATTACAAACTGAAGCGGTTTTTCATAATTAGTGGACTTTACCTTGCATAACATTGATTTCATCAGGATGAATAGCTCCGTTGACAGTTGGGACCGGTTGGGGGTTCATAACATGCGGTGGTGGTTGCTGATTGTGATGAATGGGAACGGCCGGGATGTTAGGCTGAATCTGAGCGGCGTTGGGGTTGTAGTAAGGCTGGACAGCTGGTGGATTGATTGGTTGTGGAACTTCCACCATGACTTGCCTAAAATGAATACAGTATTCATTATTATACTCTGAAGGTATGAGGCGACACTTAAATGAGTTGAAATAAATGTTACACATTTTATTTTGATTTAAATATAATAATTATTTTTGAATGTTTTCAAATTCTGTTATTTTTATTTATATGAATGAATGCCTTATATATTTACATAAAAATCTACATACGTAGATGCATCATTTTTATCAATTTCTACAAAGAAGATAAAGTGTTGTCCAGGGAAATATGAGAATTTTTAAATTTCACAGGTTTCAAGAGTCCAAATGCCAATTTTTTTATTATGTTCGAATACATGCCCCTGAGGCATGATACAATTTTCATGAAACAAATGGAACAAAAAATTTGTATCAAATTCTAACCAACAAATGAAATGAATTGTGACAAAAAGAGGGAAATGTTAACAAAGGACTATGTCTGCAATGAGCTCAAGAATGGTATAAGTGTTTCCAAGATGGCAGTGACGATGTTGAAGATGACAAACACTCTGAACATCCAAGCACATCAACAACTGAATTAAACGTGAAAAAAGTGAAAGAAAATATTACTACCGATCACGAATTACAATAAGAAAAGTCATTGATGACTTGTAATAGAAATAGATTTATTTGAAATAGATATCCTAATATAAATAAATATTATACAAATAGATCAGTTATTAAACAAAAAACAAAAAACTGAAATATATAAGACCTATATACTAGAATATAGTGTGTGAAACATAACAGTAGTAAATGATGAAGAGATTAATAGGGAGAAGAATGATGAACAACTCAATTGGAATAATATTGAGCCCGTAGATATTGACATAAGGAGCGTTTGAAGAGGTGGAGGGTGTTACTTTGTTTAATTTCATTAAGAAACTTGTTGTAGGCCAAGAGTCCTCTGTGAAATATAGAATTCATAGTTCTTGCAAGGTTAGTTTGTGGGACAACCAAGCCATCTCTTCTCTTGTGAGAAGCAATCCGAAAAAAACACCAGCAATTTGTGGATAAAAATTCATGACTTTCCCACCACATTAATGCACCTGCTCACACTTTATTGCTTGTTCGTAACTTTTTACCCAAAAACAATACTGCACAAGTGCATAATATCTATTGAGGACTCTATTGAAAGCGACAACATTAATGTAGACGAATAAAGAAATATTCTCATCAAAAAATGAATATTCCTGTTATTTTCTGAACATACCTCATATGTTTCACTGACATTACGAATATTCACTTCACACTAAATTCACTTCACACTAAATTCAATGAAATCATAATTTATGAGTGTTTGAAATATAATGAACTACCTGATGGCATTAAAGATGCAAAAAACTATCAACTATTCTTGTTATTCACTGATAACCACTAATTTGATCCATCGTTATCACCTCACATTCAATTTATGTTCACAGACCTAAGTATAAGTTAATAATGTCTTCATTTTTATTGATTTTGCATATATTTTATTATTAAAATAATTCCAGAAAGATTTCGGATTGGTATATATGGATTGATTGAGCTGATTCACATAATTTCCGAAGCAAGTCTCAGATAAGTTCTTGCATATTCTTCTAAGGTCTGAAAAAATTATATAGTCCCTATCATCACGAGAATTCAAGAAGGTTTTATGGGCCATTTTTTTCTCTTTCATAAGATATCTTAGATCTGCATTAAACCATTTAGGATATGTAGAAGTTTTAAACTTTTTTCGTGGAACAAACAACGACAAAGAAAGATTCTAATGCTTCATTTACATTCGCAATAACAGCGGGGTTTTTATCTGACATTGCTTCAAGAGTATCCAGCATTTTCAACTTACGTGAAAAGGGATGTATCAATCTTATTGAAATATACATAGTGTGAAAAAAAAAGCACATCAAAAATTTCGAACTTGAGTAGAGCAAAAAATTCAAAAAAAAATTATAAAACAACGTGCAAGATTCAAACAAAACTTATGAATGAAATATTGGGTTTTTCAATTGGCGCGGGTAGATTTTGGCGCCCCGTGGCGGCCATTTTGTTTTGGTGACATCTGTCAAATCTTTTGTTTATTATTCAGTTGTTTATGCCAAATCATCATGGCAAGTTGCACGATTGAACAGCACGTTCAAATGATAAAACTTTTTTATCAAAATGAGTGTTCGTTAACGCAAACGTTGCGCGCATTGCGCCCATTTTACGGTAGATGTGGTGGCCATTCACAGTCGACTCTTCAACGTTTGGTGGCCAAATTTAAGACGACCGGTTCAGTAAACAATCAGCCAACACCCGTACGTTCAAAGAACGCAAGATCGGCCGAGAACATCGCCGCGGTTCGTGAACGTGTACAGCAGAACCCGAGGCAGTCTATTCCTCGCCGTGCACCAGAACTCAGCCTTTCGCAGACTTCAACTTGGCGAATTTTGCGTCTGGACTTGGGCCTACACCCGTTCAAGATCCAACTGACCCAGGAGCTCAAAGTTCATGACCATAGACAACGCCGTTTGTTCGCTGACTGGGCTTCGAATCGTTTGGAAGAGGACCCCAATTTGGGCAGAAAAATCATCTTTAGTGACCATTGCCGAGCGTCGCCTGCGAGTCGACCTGCGTGATCTTGGCGTGACAGTCGCGGAAGTTCAGCTGCTGAATCTTCTGATGGATCTGCTTCTGACCGATCACGGGGCTCGTCTCGCGGTTGGGAGGGTCCAGCCCCCCATGGACGAACGACGATTGGTGGTTGTAGAATCTGAAAATACATTTTACTAGTGAATGTGCGGAAAAGTAATAATTATGGTCATTCAATTTTATTTATTATTCATTCGAGTCTTTGGTACACTGGATACATGTGTCAAGTCATAATACAATTCAAACAAAAAAAAACAGATCAGTACTAAAAAAAGTCGACTCTTCAACGTTTGGTGGCCAAATTTAAGACGGCCGGTTCAGTAAACAATCAGCCAACACCCGTACGTTCAAGGAACGCAAGATCAGCCGAGAACATCGCCGTGGTCCGTGAAAGTGTACAGCAGAACCCGAGGCAGTCTATTCCTCGCCGTGCACCAAAAGTCGGCCTTTCGCAGACTTCAACTTGGCGAATTTTGCGTCTGGACTTGGGCCTACACCCGTTCAAGATCCAACTGACCCAGGAGCTCAAAGTTCATGACCATAGACAACGCCGTTTGTTCGCTGACTGGGCTTCGAATCGTTTGGAAGAGGACCCCAATTTTGGCAGAAAAATCATCTTTAGTGACGAGGCGCATTTTTGGATGAATGGCTGTGTTAACAAGCAAAATTGCCGTATATGGGCCGACACCAACCCACGCGAGGTTCACCAGGTGATAATGCATCCTCAAAAAGTTACCGTTTGGTGTGGATTTTGGGCCGGCGGCGTAATTGGTCCGTACTTTTTTGAAAACGACGTTAGTGAGGCGAACACCGTCAATAGCGAGCGCTACAGAACGATGATAACTAATTTCTTATGGACCAAATTGAACAATATGGACCTAGACATGTGGTTCCAGCAGAACGGCGCTACGTGCCACACAGCAAACACGATTGACATTTTGCATGAACGATTTGAGGGTAAGGTTATCTCTCGCAGGGGTGATGTGAATTGGCCACCAAGGTCACGCGATCTGACCCCGCTAGACTTTTTCCTGTGGGGTTTTTGAAGTCGCAGGTCTATGCAAATAAACCACAATCGACCGATGCCTAAAGGTGAACATAACACAGGCCATCGCTCAAATTCAGCCGGATCTATGCGGAAGAGTCATTGAAAATTGGACCACTCGGATCCGTGCCACCGTAAGAAGCCGAGGCGGGCATTTGAATGATGTCATATTCCACACTTGATGGCATACATGCGCCTTTCAAATAAAAAAAAAATTTATTAATACCTCACACACAGCTTGTTTTATTCCATTTCAACTTCTACCCGCCCTTATTGAAAAACCCTTTATAATGAAAATCACCTATGAACGATTGATCTTGAGCTGGATAAGGTAGTCTTTCCAAATATATAATCTATGTGAGGACGGGAAAAATTAGTCGACAAAATTGAAACAAACACAAAATCTGAAGTAGCAAAGGGTAGGACACTTGACATTATTGTTTACACTGTTATCAATGAGCTTCCGTTCTTTATCACCACTGGTTGAGAAACAATTGAAATAGTACCACATCTAATCAAGTTTTTCTTAAGTGGATTCCTAACATAATGTAAAGTCCTGGTACCAATATCTAACATTTCCTTTTACAAAAACGAATAATTTCGAGTAATAACACGAGGTTAACTCTATAGAAAGATGTGTAGATCATTCAAAGAAGTAACTTTCATACACAAACTGAAAGAAAAAGCCCTCTCAAAACAGCTTCTTTCATATAAAAATTGAGTTACAGAAAAGAAAAATTCTTTCGAAACAGATACTTTTATGTGAACACTGAATTATAAAAAAACACTTTTCTCTGATCAGTTTGTATTCCAAACATTCGGTATGGAATTGAATAAGATATCATTCACAGGATTCCTATACAATATACTCGTAATAAATGAAACATGGGATGTCTACCAGCGAAGATGACAGCATTCCATGTAAGTGAAATTTTACCTCTTTCATTTAGTACATCATGAACGAATAACTTTAGAGGGATTCACATTTTCTTGAAATACTTCAACAGTAAACTGTTCATCTTGAGTTCATATGTATGAATCCACTTTTGGTCAACTGTCAGAAGAACCTTTTTCTTGAGTGTCGGTAAAATTGTGCAGGAACCAATCTTCTTTACACCCAAATATTCATGTTCAATCGACTGTATTGCAGCCTGTGACATGGAAAGAGATCTATCTCGAGAGAGCTTAAATGTCCGATCTTATTTTATCGTCTTGTTCACAGCATCAATGTTTTTTAGAATTACAACCATCAATTATCGAAAACTTTAATAAAAGTTTCTCTAGACATACAAAAGAAATTTTGATTAACATTCCAGTTTTTAATAATTGATCAATAGTTCTCAATATGTGAAGTTCAACAATGACTTTTTTGCACTGAATCATTTAAGAAATCATATTCTTTCATTGTTTATCATGTATGATCAGGCCGTAGCTTGACTTTGGAACGAACCACCTTCGAGAGTTGATATTTGTCTGATATTTTCTGTTGTAGGTTCCATAAGAACCACTCCAGATCACAGTTTACTAGTAACGTCAATTAATGGATCAATTTAATTTTGCCTCCTCTTGTTAAGAGGAGGCAAAATTTTTGGGTTTGAAGATAATAGAAAATCTCAAATAGAACAAGCATTTTGATACGATTTGTAAAAAGATATCCTCAATATCTTATTGTATTCAACAACTACGCTGGAATGTAAATAGATCACTCTTATTAATGTACTACCATGCATAATTTAATTGTAACATTTCCTATGGTATTATAGCTTGAGGAGTATCTAGTGATTGTTCCAGAATACTCAAAATTCAAAAAAGGACCATAAAGTATATAGCAGGAGTTACTAAAAGGACAAGTTGCAAACTCATCTTCCAAAATCTCAGAATATTGACTGTTACAAGTATATACATTTATGAGATATTAAAATATGTAAAATCGCACATAACCAGTTTTCCTTCTCTTAATGGTAATAAGAATTATAATACTAGAAATTCCCTACAGTTGGAAGTGCCAACACACAGATTAGTTGTANTATGTTAATTGCATATTGTGCCTCGAAGTGCACGGTGTTTGTATTTTAATTTTGTATTTGTACATGTTTTGACATACTCAATGTCATCTATAGATAATCCAACTGAAATATTATTATTATTATTATTAGTAGTACTATATGGTGTCTTCATAAGGAGAGATGTTATTGCCTTTACTTAAACCGGCTTGCTTCAAAAGGATAGTTGAGTCCAGCAATGAATTCGTGGTTCAGTCTGGCATCACTGATGGGACCTTTGGCGGGTCTAAACAGCGCTGTCTAGTGTTGGACCAACAATGCTTTTGTTTTCAGGTATGGTTTCAACTGATTATCATGTTGTTTTTTATGGTTTCATAAATAAGTGGCCGTTTAATTCATCTTTATAAATTTTACTCAATTCACCAGTGCACGCCACTGATCGCACACGTGTTTGCTCCTCACTATCAAGGGTTAAGTACAGAAGGGATTGCAAAAATGCGTAATGATGTATACACGAGGTGGGTCAAACATATCCATATCGTAATTAGCTATAAATATTAGTTCAGGATATTTGTAGCACTAACTGTACGAGGGTGGCTCCAGAAGTACACAGCCTGACCTAAGGATGGCGATAGTTGTTTGAAAATTATCACTGTATTAAAAAATACACAATCTATGAAGCAAATGTTTCAAGTTTGAAGACGCTGAGTTTATATTTGTTAGGCAGCAAACGTTTTCGGTGAATTTGTGAAAATGGAGTAAATTGGTCATCGTTATGTGGTACAATACTTTTATTTGAAAGGCCTCAGCCCAACCAATATAGAATAGAATAGAACTTTATTGGCCACATTACATATCCATACAATACATTTGTTGCAAGTCAGTGTTCCACCTTTCTGAACAAGAATTGAAGTAATGTACAATGTAAAAAGAAAGACCAATGCTTCCACTGTAAATAGGAACATCATACATACACATGAATATACCTCCATCGGGTCATCCTACGTGACTAATAGTGGAAATACCTACAAATCAAGTATAAAAAAAAGGAAATACTATAAAATTGTCAAAAATCACAGTGAACCTCAATATCATATGGAGTTGTTGTTCCAAGGAGCTTTAAAAAATTAATTAATGGAATAAAAACAATACTTTAATGATAGTACTTTGCATTTTCTCTTGAATAATCCTAGAGAAAGTTGTTTTAAACTAGCTGGTAACTTGTTGTATAAATACAGTTTAGGTATTTTGAACAGATTCGCTGATCTAGTATTATAATTATGATATTTGGATACGTTCGAATAATAATGTTTGTTTTTGTGAATATCTTATCACGGCATAATAGACAAACAGGCAAGGTAGAGACAAGATGGCATATTTTTCAAAAATTGGCTTGCAGTGAGCATTGAGGTCCGCACCAACGATTATCCTCATTGTTTTTTCTGTAGTGCGAATATTTTCAGAGCCTAACTTGAGTTCCCCACAGAAGAATCTCATACGTGATCTGAGATGTATCAATGAGTAGTACGCAGAGAGCAGAGTGTTAATGTTAACAACCTTTTTTAGTTGTCGCATTAGATAAATATAGCACGATATAAAAGAATTCTACTCTGGGTGAGTCTGCTCCTTCGTTTACATTAGTGAAATATTGGGTAGCAGAGTTTAAACGAGGTCGTACGAGCTGCCAAGACAAGCATCGCAGTGGTCGACCAAATGAGGTGACGACTCTGGAAACTGTGAAGAAAATCCACAAACCGGTACTGAATGATCGTCGACAGAAAGTGCGCGAGCTAGCAGGCATTTCAAAAAGTGCGGCACGTCGTATATTATCTGAAAATTTGGACACGAGAAAGCTGTGTGCAAGACGTGTGCCGCGTTTGCTCACACTCGAGCAAAAACAGTGTCGTGAACATGTTTCAATTGAGTGCTAAGCGAAGTTTCACAGCAACAAAGCAGAATTCTTGCGTCTTTCATAACCATGGATGAAATATGGGTCCATCACTTTACACTCGAGACAAAAGAACGATCAAAACAGTGTACTCAACAGCGATAACCGGCTCTAAAGAAGGCGAA